CAGAGGTTCGGTGGATGCTCCGTGGCTGAGTGAGTCAGAGGGCCCAGTGCCCCCTTCCCCGCCCCCCACAGCTGCAGACCAGGATGATGGCCCCTCCCAGGAGTCACAGGCTGAGTTAGAGCTTGAGGCCCTGCTGCAGAGCCTGGACCAAGATGCACAGCAGGTAGCGGGAAGGGGTGGCCGAGAATGGCAGGCTGGACCATTGGGACAGCAGGGCGTAGGGCACGGGAGCTCTTTTATAGCAGTGGGAGCTGTATTGGGGATGGTAGTGGGAGGGTGCCTGATCCTGCCCGTGGCTGCAGGGGAAGGAGGATAGTCGGGACGTGGTATGTGGCATCTGCATGAACAGAGTGTGGGACAAGCCGGAGGCTGAGCGTGTCTTCGGCATCCTGCCCAACTGCACGCATGCGCACTGCCTGGGCTGCCTGCGCACCTGGCGGAGGAACCCGCAGCGCTTCCTGTTGGATGTCATCAAGTCAGTGCTGCCCGGGGGCCGCAGGGAGGGGGACACCCCAGAGAGACTGGGGCACGGTCGCCATCCCCGGCCTTCGCCTCACCCTCTGTGCAGGGCCTGCCCGCAGTGCCGGGTCCACTCCAGCTACATCATCCCGCACAAGTTCTGGGTGAGCCGCGGGGCTGAGAAGGAGCAGCTCATCCGCAGCTTCAAGGCTCGGGCCAGGTGAGGTTGGCGGTGAGGCAGGAGGGGAGGCAGCCATGGCTCCCAGCCTGGGATCCCCAAACCCAAACCCAGGAAGCTCAGTGAGGTCTCGATGGCCAGCGAGGAGGTGACTTGCTTTCAGGATGTCAGCCAGCCTACCAGTGACGGTGGGGGCAGGGGGAGCAGGAACAGCAGGGCCAAGTTTCTTTTCTGGTTTGTTTTTGAGACAGCCTCACTGTGTAGCCCAGACTGGACTCAACCTTGGATCCTCCTGCCTCAGCCTCCTGAGTGCTGTGATGACTGGCACACACCACCCCACCCGGCTTCCTAACTTCCTTTTCTAATCTGGCTCAGGATCAATGCAGGCAACTCAGGTTTTCTCCCACCATGACAGGCCTGCTTGCCTTTTATTTCCAATTTTTTAAAATTTATTTTACTTTGCGGTATTGGGGTTTGAACTCGGGGCCTCATGCTTGCTAGGAAGGTGCTCTAACACTTGAGGTACTCCACCTGCCCTTTTATGTGATGGGCTTTTCAAGATAGGGTCTCACAAACTATTTGCCCAAGCTAGCTTTGAATTGCAATCTTCCTGATCTCTGCCTCCTGAGTAGCTAGGATTACAGGTTTGAGCCATGGGCACCTGGCTTATTTCCAATTTTTAAAGGCAAGAAAGTAATTTGACATGCATATATCTACATGCTTAGATGATCTTTGAAACATGAGGTCACTGAGAAGGGGAGATACCAGGGCAGCCTTTGGCAATAGGAAAAGTTGGGGGAGGAAAACCTTTCACCCAAAATCTGGAACTGGCTTCATTCCAGGTTCCTAGTTCCACTTTCCCATGGGTTTGTGACACCTGCCACATAGAGTGAATTTGTCTAGAAAGTGGATAAGAGGCAGGTCCTGCCTGTACCTGCTTGCCTGTCGACCATGCTAGCCGTATGGACAGTGGCTGAGGAAAAGCCAGCTAGGGGGGCGCTCAGAGGGGAATGTTTGAGTTGGGCATTGGAGGAAGAGTAGGGTCCCTCAGGGGTAGAAAATGAGGGTGCTGCAGACAGACAGAGGCCAAAGTGGGAGGGTGATGACCGTTGGATTGCATTTGGAAAGTTCTGGAAGGCCCGGTTGTGATGGGGTGCTGTAGTGTGAGGACAGGCTTTGTATGTCACATGAATCATGGGCCCCAACTCTCCACTGTAGAAGAAGAAACTGAGGTATAGTCTTTGTGAATTTAATGAGCTATTGGGGTTTAAAGCCAGCATCTGGGCTCATAGCTGGTACCAGAAGAAATGCCAGGGTGGAAATGAACTTGAGAGGAAGTGACCAACTGACTGAGGTGTAAGGAACATTTAAGATGATTAGTGTTTCCAGCCTCGGTGCTCGTGGGACTTCTGTGTCACTTGGTGGAGGAGAGAGGACCAGTCACTTCTTGGGATTTCCACTCCCAGTCTGGGTGGCTCAGTGGGTTCTGTGTCCAGAGTGTCTGCGAGAGGTGGGAAGGACTCAGCTTTGTCTTGGAATTAAGTGGAGAAGGCTGAGGCAGGAAAGGAGCTACCAGAATGCTCTACCCCTCCTCACTCTCGTCTGCCTTTTTCTGCAAGGAAGGTGATGCCACTGAGGCTGATCACACGTGTCCCCAAACTCTTCCTTGTGCTTGACCTGCTTGAGAGAAACTTGAAGTCTCAGGAGTGAGAATCTTCTTATCAGCCAGAAGATACCTGTCTAAGGCCCAGGCTATTGCTCTAAGTTTTTTACATGTGGGGGTTGTCTGGGACTCACCACTTTGGTGTTTATTACTAAAACTGCTGAAAGATGGAAAGGAGGTTCCAGCTGGCCTCAAGAGACAGAGAGAGGCATCCTCAAGACTCTTTACTGCCACCTGCTGGAAGATGATGGAGTAAATGTCAAATCTACATTAGGAAATGGTGAGGTAGTTCACACCTGTCAGAATCCCAGCACTCTGGAAGCTGACACAGGAGGATCTTGAGTTGACATCCAGCCTGGACTACACAGCAAGATCTTGTCTCAAAAAGAAAAAGAAGAATATATGATAGGACGCGAGTGGTGCCTGCTCAGATGGGTGCTTTTGTGTGTTATGTACAGCCTTCCCTACCTATGGGTCAGCCTGGAGTGCCCTTTGCTTCTGAGACAACAGGACTTGAAGGTGATGGTCTCTCTCTCCTTCCGTCCTCTAACAGCCAGATCCGATGCTGGTTCTTTGTGCGGAGTAAGGGCCACTGCCCCTTCAAGTCTGACTGCATCTACCTGCACCAGCTCAGACTAAGGCTCCTGCCTCTGGGCCTCCTTGGCCCAGGAGTCTGCAGCTGGCCTCTGGGAGTAAAGTGGACAGCAGGGGGAGACGACTGTCATGGTTTCTAATTAATGTCCACAATAACTGTAAAGCCTATGTATAATGCTTGTGATGTGGATGGGGCTTACCCAAGGCACTGTTGTTCTGTGTCCAACCTGCCCAACCTCCCTGTGAGCCTTGAGTGCCCCTGTTCCCAGGGCAACTGCAGTCAAGGCTAACTGACGGGCTTTCAGGGTTTTTTCTCTTTACACCCAGGTGCCAGGCCCAGCATTGTTCCTAGGGGCCACCAAGCCAGAGAAGGATGTGTTCTTCCCAGACCGTGCCCTGGCCCTGGCCCTCTGGGGTTCAGAACTCCTGCTAGACTTCAGTTCTTACTATGGCCTTCTGCAACTGGGATCAGCTTGAGGGATCAGGGGTGAGGGAAGTGATGCTAGTTGGTAGATCTTTACCATTTTGGCTGTTGTGTGGGTAAAAGTAGCATTAGTGACACTTGGGAGACATGGCGGGGCGGGGGGCGGTTCTCACCTGGCTTGCCAGGACCTTAGTTTTTAAACTTTGCTCTTTTGTAGAAGGATTTCTGAAAGAAAACCAATAAAATGCATCTAAGCTATCACTACTGTGTCTAAAGAGTGGTCTGCTTGTAGCCTCTGCCCCCAGGGGAACAGGGCCACTTCTATGGAAGCTTTGTATCTCTTTGGCATTCATGACTCCACCCACTATATCTCAAGTCCTGCCTCCCCCAGCAGCTCCTCATTCAGTGACCAAAACCCTGCCCTATGAAGTTAGAACTGCTTACCGGAGAGAGAAGTTACCTGGAATAAACTTCTTTCTTGCTTTTTTGGCCTTTGCAAAGCAGGCGCCATCTAAGAAACCTTCCTTAGTCTTCCCAACAGCTTTCTTGAGGTCATTTGAAAAAAATAGAAATCTTGGCTCAAATGGAAATCAGATCAAATTCAAAAAGTACTCCCCTGGATTCTCATAGTATTCAGAATGAAAGCCAAAGCCCTTTGTGTGAGCTCAGGCCCCATGACCTCTCTGATCCCTTCTGTTATTCTCCAGCAGGTGTCCTGTGTTCCTGCTGCCCCAGAGCCTTTGCTTTTGCTCTTCTCTCTGCCTAAAATGGTCCCCGATCCCTGCACAGGAGTTTCCTTGGCTTGCTGACCCTCATCTCCTTCAAGTTCATCTTGCCTGTTTAAAAGTCTTATCTCCCTTTTATACTGTATTTTTTTTGTTGTTGTTGGAGTTTGAGCAGGCACTCTACCACTTGAGCCACACCTCTGGGTCATTTTGCTCTGGTTATTTTGGAGATGGGATCTTGCAAACTATTTGCATGCTGGACTCGAACTATGATCCTCCCAAGTAGGTAGGATTACAAGTGCTATATTCTTTTCGAAAGCACTTATCACAAGCACTCAATTATTTACTTTTTATTTAACTTTCTGTCTCTCTCCACTTGTATGTTAGCAACAAGAGCAGTGGTGGCTGTTTTATTCTACTCTATCTCCAGTCCTTAAGAGCTTAGGGAACACTTAATGAATAGATGTGCATGAGGTAGCAGAAGCTGGTTTATGGGTGGTGTGTGCTTTTTCCCCCCTCTTCCTTTTCTTTCTACCCTTCTATCTTCTGCCTTAATCTCACCTTTCGCTAGAAACCTACTGCCTCCAGCAGTCTTCCTTAAACTGAAACCCTGGGAGGCAAAGCCATTCCTGGTCTCTGTAAACAACCATAGCAAAGATGCTTTCTTGGTCTTTGAGAGGAAGTTCACAGGAAAGGTTTTGGCCACATCAGTGGCATTAGGTTTTACTGTGATCCCATTCTCAGGGATATTTGTACATCAAATTATATTTCTGGAGAGGACTGAAAGTCAAATGACCTCATTTTTTGGCCTGTGGAAGAGATGAAGTAGGGTGATTAATTGTGGTCAAATCTTACCGCCAAGCCCATGATCTACAAGCGACATGGGCGTTTACAGCTTGGGTTTGTAAATACAACAGGACCCTGACAGCCATTCTACCCCACTGTTTCAGGGAGTAAATGGAGAAGGAGGCTGAGAGTTATCAGACGAGGATCCGCCCCTTCGCCAAGCCCCGCCCCCAGGCCGACAGGCCTGGCCCCGCCCTCCTGTTCTCGGAGCGGGGCATTTCCTGGCCACGCCCCTTCCGGCCTGTTTTCGTCCCGCCCCCTGCTCTTCCTAGCGGCTCGCTGATCTCTCGGGCCCGCTGTCTGAGCGGCGTCTATCTAAACCTGGGAGAGACTGTAGCGCACGCTGGAGTCCTTCTCGGTTTCCGCCGGGCTCGGAGCCGAGGCCCCAGCTGCGGCGAGGCGGCCAGGCGCCGACTCCGTCTTGGCGACCCCGGACGCGGCGCCCCGTCTGGCTGAGGGCCCGGGGCCGGCGCCCTGGGCGTCCCTGGAGGGCCCCGACCGCCTCCTGCTGCAGGCGCTGCAGGCTGGGCCCGACGGGGCAAGGCGCGGCCTCGCGGTGCTGCGGATGCTGGGCCGCCGCGGTCCGGATCCCTTCTGCTGGGGCCGCTTTCTCGAGACGCTGTGCCGGGAGGAGCCGGTGGTGCAGGGGCCGAACGGCCGCCTAGAGCTGTAAGTTTGCCCTCGCTGCCCCTCTGTAAGTGAGGGACCGAGCACCATTCCCCTCGGAGGAGGGCAGTCTGCATTGGGTGCCTGGTGTGTGCCAGCTGTGCTGGGTGGACATCGCGGATGCAAGAACAGAAGATGCGCCTTCTGTCGTGCCTAAGGATGTAATTCTAAGCCCGACACCGGTGGTTCAAGCCTGTGATCCTAAGCTACTTGGGAGGCTGAGATCGGGAGGATCGAGGTTTGAGGCCAGCCTTGGCAAATAGTTCTTGAGATCCCCATCTCCAAAATAACCAAAGCAAAATGGACTGGAGTTGTGGCTCAAGCGGTGGAACTGCTGCTTTGCAAGCTCTGAATTCAAACCTCACCCCCCACCCCCCAAAAAAGTAGTTCTAAGTGGGTCAAATGGATTTAAATGGCATGCTTACATCTCTTTGAAAAATCGTTTAAAAAGGCGTATAACTCCAAGTATAGGCATACTTATGTATAAAGTGAACAGCTGTGTTAAAATACATTATAAAGCATCCAGGAATATTTAAAAGGTAGTGAGTGGAATAGCATCTGTTAATAGCGGTGGCTTTATACTGTCAGATTTTCAAAGTATAATAATATGTGTCAAGCTCATCTCCTCTGAGGCCCTCTTGGGCTACAGCAAGCCCTTGCCACTGCACACTTAACTGTCAGAGTCAATTTGTTCAATAAGTGTGTGCCAAGGAGATACTGTGACACAGAGGAAGAAGACACTGCCCCTCCCTTTCAGAAACTCATGGTTTGGTGAAAAACATGAGAGCTGGATGGATGAATGAACAGCTGAGAGCTCCAGTGGTGGGGTGCAAGGGAGCCACAGAGCAGCAGACCAAGCATTGCACAGCCTCCTGCAATATTATTTTTATCTAAGATATGAAAATAGACTTTTTTCTCTGCTACATAAAACTAACATAGATCTATTATAGAATAGGATCCAACATGATTTTTTTTTAGATGAAATACACGCCCCAGAGGTTAAAGAGCAGGGCCAGGTATATAAAAGATGCTTCATGAACACTTGTCTATAATTCTCCTACTGTCCCCTCTCCATCCACAGCAATTCTTTTTTTTTTTTTTTTAGTTCTAAAATGACATTTTTTTTTTCATTTTTCTTTTATTATTCATATGTGCATACAAGGCTTGGTTTATTTCTCCCCCCTGTCCCCACCCCCTCCCTTACCACCCACTCCACCCCCTCCCGCTCCCCCCCTCAATACCCAGCAGAAACTATTTTGCCCTTATCTCTAATTTTGTTGTAGAGAGAGTATAAGCAATAATAGGAAGGAACAAGGGGTTTTGCTGGTTGAGATAAGGATAGCTATACAGGGCATTGACTCACATTGATTTCCTGTGCGTGGGTGTTACCTTCTAGGTTAATTCTTTTTAATCTAACCTTTTCTCTAGTTCCTGGTCTCCTTTTCCTATTGGCCTCAGTTGCTTTAAGGTATCTGCTTTAGTTTCTCTGCATTAAGGGCAACAAATGCTAGCTAGTTTTTTAGGTGTCTTACCTATCCTCACCCCTCCCTTGTGTGCTCTCGCTTTTATCATGTGCTCATAGTCCAATCCCCTTGTTGTGTTTGCCCTTGATCTAATGTCCACATATGAGGGAGAACATACGATTTTTGGTCTTTTGAGCCAGGCTAACCTCACTCAGAATGATGTTCTCCAATTCCATCCATTTACCAGCGAATGATAACATTTCGTTCTTCTTCATGGCTGCATAAAATTCCATTGTGTATAGATACCACATTTTCTTAATCCATTCGTCAGTGCTGGGGCATCTTGGCTGTTTCCATAACTTGGCTATTGTGAATAGTGCCGCAATAAACATGGATGTGCAGGTGCCTCTGGAGTAACAGTCTTTTGGGTATATCCCCAAGAGTGGTATTGCTGGATCAAATGGTAGATCCATGTCCAGCTTTTTAAGTAGCCTCCAAATTTTTTTCCAGAGTGGTTGTACTAGTCTACATTCCCACCAACAGTGTAAGAGGGTTCCTTTTTCCCCGCATCCTCGCCAACACCTGTTGTTGGTGGTGTTGCTGATGATGGCTATTCTAACAGGGGTGAGGTGGAATCTTAGCCACAGCAATTCTTGAGTTACTGCCACCCATCCCACATCTGCCACCTGCCATCATGTCCCTAGCCCTGCCCAGTCTGCCTGAGTTTCCATTAGGAAGCTACCCTGATGGCTTGCTCTCCCTCTGCTACCAGGAAACCACTGTTGCTGCGATTACCCGGGTTATGTCAGAGGAACCTGATGTCTCTGCTGATGGCTGTTCGTCCATTGCTACCTGAAAGCAGGCTCCTCTCTGTGCTGCAGATTACCCAGCAGGATGCAGTCTCTGCCTCGGATGCCTGGCTCCATGCCCTGGGAGAAATGCTGCGAAGGGATCTGGAGGTTGGAGGCTCCAGAGCCTCTCCACTATCCAAAAGGTGCCAGAGCCAGCTCCGAGGCCTGTGTAAGCAGTTGGGCCAAGGGGGCAGGAGGCTGAAGTTGCCCCAGGTTCCAGACCCTGAAGAGGTTAAAGATGAGGAGAACGAGGACAGGGATTCCCAACAGCGTGGGAAACGCAGAAAAGAGCCAGAGGAAGAGCTCGCTAGTTCTGATGGGGAGAAGGCCCCCAAAAGGTTCCGGGGCTGGGAAAGGGAAGAAGAAGATCACAAGGAGGAGAGACTGGAGCCTGAGTCATTGGAATCCCTGTCACATGGAGTGGGCTCATCACCCATTAAGAAGCAGCCTGTGGTGGGAGTTGAGGCCAGTGAGGCTGGCCAGAGTCTGGAGGAGGCCAAGATCCCAGCTGAGAGAGTGGTATTGCCCAAAGCTCTCCAGGTAGTATGGCAGGAAACCTGGGTTTAGAGTAAATGTCCAGGACTAAGGGTTTACATGTGGTGAAGGCTGGTTGGAACACTTTTTCCCAACCAGGACCACTCTGTAGTATGTAGAGCAGGGGGTAGGAGCATTGTGGGAATATAGCCTCCACTCCACAGGACTGAAGGAAGGGTGCAGGGAGGGAGTTACTGGAAGTGGGAAACACTTGTCCTAATGATCTATGATGTGGGATTGTTAAAGAGTGTCTACCCAGGGGATAAGTTCTGGAGCCACCCCTGCCTCCCCATCCTCTGGGGGCTGAGAGAATCATGGCAGCATCCAGCCTGCCCTGCCACCCAAAGGCCCAGATCTACTGACATCATTAAGGGCTGGAAGCATGGAAGATAGGTCTGCACAGCTGGATCTCACATGAGCCTGGTCCACTTTGAATTCTTAGGTATTTTGCAAAACAGTGTCATGTTCTTGGTTCTCTTGAATTTCCTTTGCCTGCCAGCTCCCATTGACAAGGCTGCTTCAGGAGAGAGAGGTGGGAGTAGCTTTGGGCAGTACTGGAGGGGAGGGGCTCTGCAGTGACCAGATTCTTCTCTGCAGGACCAGTTGCCCAGGCTGCAGCAGTTGCTGAGGACCTTTGGGGAGGTAACTGACACTACCCTGTACACCATGGCTCTTCTAGCTTCTGCTGGCACCTCAGCCATGCCCAAGGAAGCTCCTGGCATAGGGAGGCATGGGTGGATGGCAGAGTAGGGTTGGAGAGAAGGTCTGGGGACAGTCATTGTGGGGCTTACCTTTGTATGGGTATAGACATGTTATCTAACCCCAGTTCCTCTCCTCTGGTAGCCCCTTCTAATTGCTCAGCCACTCCCTTTGTCAATTGAAGGGTTAGCCTGTGACTTGTCATAAGGGCTCTGACAGTGCCAAAATGATATTTGCCCCTCCAGGGACTGCAGGGGTTGGAGGATACCCCCCCAGTTGAGCTGCAGCTTCTCCATGAATGTAGCCTCAGCCAGGTGAGACCAGGAGAACTTTTGGCCCTGAGGTCACCCTTTTCCATTTAAGTTTGTCTCCCCACCTCACTTGGGACTTGTAGGAGGGGACTTTGTTTCTGTCTCTTGGGTAGGGTCTCCTTGAGTGGTTTCTTTTTAGCCCTTGCTTCCTAGGACAGATTTCCCAGCCCTACCTTGCCTTAGAGAGTAGCTTTGTGTTATCCCCCTTGGCAGATGGAGCTGCTGTGCGCCCAGCTGCAGCTCCCTCAGCTCTCAGATGCTGGTCTCCTGCAGCTCTGCACCTGGCTGCTGTCCCTCTCACCAAGCCTTAGCATCAGCAATGCCACTGTGCTGGCCAGGAGCCTCTTCCTCAGACGGGTAGGTGGACTGAGGGCCAGGGACAGTGGGGAGTGTCTGAACCCTCAAAAGGAGGGGCTTAGGAGAGGATGTCCCTGGCCTTGCAGGCATCTGGCTTGTCTGGGAGCCTGAGGCAAGAGAAGGGTCCCCATTGGCAATTAGCAGGCATGAGTTCCCTGACCATCTAACCACAATCACCTAACTCTTCTCTCTTGGATTCCCAGAGTCCTTCCAGAAGCTGATCAAGGGGCTTTCAGGTTTTGGAGTTGGAGAGGGGAGCTGTGGGTCTTTTCCATGGGTGGGCCCCTGTGAATCCTGGATAAAACAATTTTTTCCTGTTCTGTGTAATATGTATCAGCCTCTGAAATATGTGTCTGATAAATATGTGGAAGAGCAGAGAAATGAATGAATGTTCCCTCCCCACTGGCTGTAGATTCTCTCCCTGACTTCCTCAGCTTCCCAGCTGCTGAGAGCTGCCCTGACCTCATTCTGTGCCAAGTACACCTTCCCTGTCTGCAGAGCCCTCCTCACCCCAGTGCTCCAGGCCCCAGGCACAGGTAATTCTAGAACCAGCCCCAGGCCTGGTAGCTGTCCTCTCTACTGCCAGCACTCTTCACCCCAGGGTGACTCTGACAGGAGTTGAGTATTCAGTGAGTACAGATACTCTTGCTTCTCTGGCAATGCCACTAACAAGCTGGGCATCCTGTTCCCCCTAGTCCTTCTCCTGTCATTCCCCTAGTCCTCTTGCCTCTGTTCTCTGGCCCAGGTCCAGCTCAGACAGAGTTACTGTGTTGCCTTATGAAGGATGAGTCTCTGGAGCCAGATACACAGCAACTGATACTGGGGTGAGTATGCAGGCTTTCATGTTTCCCCATCCCACCTCCCCAGGCTAGGGAGCTAGCTGGGTACCAGACTTTATGACTCAAAGACAGGCCTTGGCCCTGGGGCTGTAGATCAGTCATAGCCCTTGCCTAGCAGGCACAAGGCCCTGGGTTTCATCCCCAGCACTGCCCTATCCCACCCCAAATGCTGTCCACCCATACCAGTTGCCATCCCATGTATTTTCCTGAGCCTAGGGCTGCCATCTTCCCCAGTTCTGCCTCTGCAGGCCCTGTTCTGGAGTACTTCCTAGCATAGTTGGAACATGGCATGAGAGTTAAGAGTCCTGGCTCCATAGTCAGACAGATATGTTTCAAATCTCAACCTTGCCTTTTTTAAATGTGGGGCTCAACAAGTTGCTCCATGCTGCTGAGCCACAGTTTCCTCATATAACAAATGGGGCCAAACTCTGCACTGCTGTGGCAGTATCACAACCAATGAGGTTTATCCCATGCACAATTATTGCTAATTGAAAACTTCCCAATACACTACTGTGACAACTTGCAATGTAGTCAGCATTGGCAATTTTTGACAGTCTCTAAAGAGATTGAATTTAAAAAATAAATAAAATTTAAAAAATAAAAATAAACAATGGGGCTAGCCAGGCATGGTGGTACATACCTGTAATCCTAGCACTTGAGATGCTGAGGCAGGAGGATTGTAAGTTTTAGGCCAATCTGGGCTACATAGTGTCACAAAAAAAGACCCCCAAAACAAAAAAACCTAAAAACAGCTAAAACCTGCTTAGTCAGCATGAAGTTGTGAGTTCAAACCCCAGTACTACAAAAAAGAAAAGAAAAAATGAGGCTGATAGTCACTTTGTAGGATTTTTTTTCCAGGTATTAAATATGATGCATGTAATGCGTTCAGCACAATATTTGACATCTAATAAGTTCCCAAAATTTGGGCTGAAATTGCTATTAAATTTGGGTGTTAAAATTGAGTTAAGATATAGACATGTGAAGCAATGTAAGACCCCATGGGACACAGGCACGAGATACAAAATGATTATCAGAAGGGAACAGTCTCAGAAACAGTCATCACTCTTAGGGCACTTTTTCAATATTTTAGTCTCAGTCTTCATGCAGTTTTGCAGGGTGCCTTTGCCACCTTACAGGTGGAAAAACTACACAGAATGTTAAGGGACTTGGCCAAAGGTCACCCAGCCAGCAACTGATAAAGCTTGGGGTCAAACCCAAGTCTCTCCATCCAAGAAGCCACACTGTTTCCACTGTGACTTGGGCCTTCTGGAACAAGGGGGGATGTGCGGTGGAGTAGGAAGCATGGGTGGGCTGGCTCTTCAGGGAAGGCTCACCTACTCTAGGAAACCTTGGTCTGTCATCCTCCAGCATCAGCATCCTCATTGCTGAGTCTCCTCTTCCTCCTGCTGAGAGACAAGGGGGCCTTTGTGCCTCATACCCTAAATCCTTCATTGCTGGCTCCTGTCACAAGGATAGGCTCTGGCAGCAGTGGCTCCTGGGGCTGCCACCGGCCCTGATGATCCTCTGATGGCAGGAATTTTGACTGTCACAGGGAGTAGGAGCAGTGGATTCCCAGGTGTGGGTGGGATGTTGGACTCCTCTGTGCAGGCACATCCTGGAGCTGTCCTGGAAGGAGGAGACTTTCTTGGTGTTGCAGGCACTCCTTGAGCAGCAGGTAAGAGGACTGCCTTGGAGGTGGGTGGACAGAGACTGAAGAGCCCTAGTACTGCAGGGTTTCTGAGTCCTGTGATGGAGGGGCACAGGGTGGTGGCTGTGATGTGAAAGAGCCCCATAGCTGGCAAGGTGGGAGCAGAGAGCTGACCACATGGTCCTCTTACCAACTGCGGGCCTTGGGGCTGACTTTCCTGATATGGGTATGTGAATTTAACTGTATTTTTGAGTAGGTAGTAGATCCATGTGTTCATAATTAAAAAAAAAAAAGATGTAATGAAAAATATTGTCCTTTTCTCCCCAAGCTATCAGACTCCCCTCCCCGGTGCTTCCCAGTGTGATGGCTTACGGGGAGCTCCACCAGAGAGTGTGTGTGTTTGGATCCATGCTTGCATAGCGAGCATTTACATTTACTTTTCCCCTACTTTTTTTTTTTTTTTTTGGTAGATTTTAACACACCAAGCTGAGTGTTTTCCATACCTTATTTAGCAGTGTATTTTCATGACTTTTCCACATTACTACCTAAAATTCTTCCTCATTTGTTTGTGTCTTATGTAATGACCTTGCCTCTTTATGACTCAATTTCCTCATCTGAAAAAGAGGAGTTCTGATGGCACCTACATAAGCCTGGGGTGAGCTTTAAATGAGGCGATTGGTGTAAAGGACTCAGAGCAGTGCCTGATGCATAGTGTGTACTGTAATTATGAAGAGCTGGCAAGGTCCTTGGGACCTCTTGCTGCTTTAGATCTTCAACCACAGAGGCAGGCGAGTGTCCTTGGCTTCCTCTTGGTCCTCATCTGAGCTTTTGCAATGGTAGCCACCATTTTCTAATACCTATATGTTGGCTTCTATGTGCCTTACCTCATTTACCCTTTTCACTATCTTCAGAATTAGATATTTTGAGCCCCATTTTACAGAGGTGGGAACAGAGGCTTAGCTTGGTGTCTTAGCTTTCTGTCTCTGACAAAATACCTGAAATAGAAAATTTAAAAGGAAGTTGGGTGAGGTGGTATATGCCTGTAATCCCAGCACTTGGGAGGCAGAGGCAGGAGGCTTGATTTTGAGTTCAAAGCCAGACTGAGCTACATAGTGAGACCTTGTCTCAAAAAACAAAACCTGACTGTCAGAGTGGCTCAAGTGGTAGCATGCCTGTCTAGCAAGTGTAAGGCCCACCAAAAAACCCAAAAGAAACCTCCCCCCCAAAAAAAAAAAAAAAACCACAATAAAAAGCCTCAAACAACAACAAACCTTTAAAAGGAGGAAAGGCTTATTCTGGCTCACAGTTGCTGAGGTTTCTGTACACAGTTGGCTTAGTTGCTCTTGGACCTGTGATGAGGCACTGAATGTAACACAGCACCAGGAGCACATGGCAAGGAGACTGCTCATGTCATAGGGGCAAGGAAGTAAAGAAAGAGTGAAGAGGGACCAGTGTCTCAATATTCCCTTCAAGGGTACAGCCCCAGTGACCTAACTTCCTTCTGCTAGGCCCACATCCTCACCATAGCACCATCCTGGAGACCATTCCACATGTAGGCCTGTGGGGAACATTCCAGACCCAAACTGCAGCACTTGGTTAAGCTGCTTGCCCAGGGTCACCCAGTGAAGAGATGGTGGAGTTGGTTGAATCCTGGACTGGCTCAGACCTTCCTTGTGATACTGCTCTGTTTCCCAATGTGTGCAGGTGGAGATGACCTCTGAGAAGTTCAATGTCCTGATGGAGAAGCTATGTGAGGAGGGGCTGGCAGCCACCACCTCTGTAGCCTATGCCAAGCTCATACTGACTGTGATAACCAAGTACCAGCCCAGCGTGAGTGTCCATGGGACCATGGGAACTGGGCCTGCCACCACAGCTACCAATGTTTGCCAGGGCAACCACAAGTGCCAGCCCAGGGCTGGGGGCTGGGGCTGCTTAGGGGTTCATTCATTCAGCCAGCACCTCTTTGTCAGAGTGCTGTGTGGGGCACTGAGATATCAGTAGTGACCAGAATATAGCCCCTCTCCATGAGCTGACCCTGTCCCCCAACCCCAGGCTAGTGAGAGGGAAAGAGACAATAAGCAGATAACTAATATTTGGTAGGAGCCAGTGAGAGGTTTGCACAAGACATTTGGTGGCAAAGGAAAGAGGGGTAGTTAAGCCTTGTTTATAGTGGGGATTGGGACAGGCTTCCTGCCTCTTAAAGAGTGGTTGGTGGCCAAGAGTTGAAGATGGGGGAAGGGCATTTCTGGCAAAGAATGCAGCGTGAGCAGGGAGTGTTCAGGGGTTCTTCAGCTAGTTCATTGTGAGAACTAGCTCACAATGAACTACCTAAAAATGTGAGAGTGGGTGGTAGGGATAAGCTAGAAAGCTTAAGTACTCATAGCTAGTACTTCCACAGCCCAGAAAATAGGAATTTGAACATGCATCTGATACATGCTTTTGGGAGGTTCCTGGGTCCTCTGAAACCCGCTAGATCCTGGAAGAACCTGTGTGTGAGGCGTCAGGAGTCTCCCAAAGGTCTTAGCTGGCCAGATATGCATCATAGAGACGCCTCTGTCTTCTCAAGGAGTGGGTATTAGAAAATGAAAACAAAGAAAGAAAAAAAGGAGTGAAAAAAAAATTTAAAACACAAGGATATGGGCTGGAGGCGTGGCTCAAGTAGTAGAGTGCCTGCCTAGCAAGTGTGAGCCCCTGAGTTCAAATTCCAGCACTGAAAAAAGAGAAAAGGAAGGAAGGGAGGGAGGGAGGGAACCTATGATGTGTCAGGAAATTGTAGTAACAGGTCAGCAAGAGACAGCGTGGTCCAGGAGGAAGGGGAACCTGTTTCCTTGTCTGTAAGATGGGAGGGTTGTGAGGATTGTGGGGGGTAATGCATATAAAGTGCATATGAAGTCATTGTCTGCTAGTAGTGATGTAAGAGGTAAGTAATTACTAATGCAGCTGACATTTGATTCCGGATCCACCTGAATCCATGGTTGGCTGACATGATGAAATAATGAAGTCCTGTTGCTCAGGAGCCTTTTGCTGCTCCTCCTTCCCTGGTCCTTATGTCCTGGGTTCCTCTCTCCTTCCTAAACAGAGGGGAGGGGAAGACCAGCCATTGGAGTGCTGAACTGGTTCTTCCTCTCCTCAGATCACAGAGACCCAGAGACTGGGCCTGGCTGTGGCCCTAGAGCCCAACACCACCTTCCTGAGGAAGTCCCTGCAGGCTGCCCTGAGACATCTGGCTCGCTGACCATCTACCAAGGGACCAGCCTCTTGGAGTTCTGTCATCAGCATCCTGAAGGACACTTTTGCCCTCATCACCTTGCCCCAGACCCTTGCCTTAGAATGAAGGCTGAGCCTGGTCATCTGAGGAGAGCAGCAGCCCTCTGTTACAGGCTGTACAGAGGCCATCTTGGCCTTCTGCAGAAGGGGCCTCCTGGGCTATATTTGCTATATTAGCTACATTTTTCAAGGGCTGCTGGTCTGGGGCTTACCCCTCCCTGATCACTTCTCGGGGGAAGGGGACAGAAACTTCCTGATAGGCCTCAGAAGGGTCAGTGGTAGACATATGGTGCTCCAGGAGATCTGGGGTACCTGTGTACTCAGCATGAACCTCTTATGGTCAAGTGTATGATATAACCTGTATTTTTGTTTCAGACCTTAATAATTTCTCAATAGTGTTTAATATAAAGCAGGAATTTTGGTACAGGGCTCATGTCTATAATCTCAGCACTCAGAATCTGAGGAGGGGAGGATTCAAGAGTTCAAGACTAATCTGGGCAACATAGTAAAATCTTGTATCAAAAAAAAAGGAAATTCAATGCTGTCTTATTTGTGCCTGATTTCCCACTAACTTTGAGTACTTGTTGACCCCTCCCCACCTTTCCACCCTTGCAGTGACAAGGGGTGTCTTTTTTTCCTGGTGAGGAGAAGGTTGTAAAGTGCTGTTCTGAAATTCACTCATTCCCATTCTGTGGTCAGATCATGTGTGATCCCACTACTGCAGCACTGTCAGAACTGCCTGTTGCTGGTGGAATGGCTCAAGTGGTAGAGCACCTACCTGGTAAGCACAAGGACGTGACTGCAAACCCCAGTACTGCCAAAAACAACAACAAACGCATTCCTTTTAGCCAGGTGCTGGTGGCTCATGCCTGTAATCCTAGCTACTCAGGAGGCAGAGATCTGGAGGATTGAGGTTCAAAGCAAGCCCAGGCAAATAGCTTGCGAGACCCTGTCTTGAGAAATCCATCACAAAAAAGGGCTGGTGGAGTGGCTTAAGGTGTAGGCCCTGAGTTCAAACCCCAGTACTGCAAAAAAAAAAAAAAAAAAAAAACTTGACTGTTGAGTAGGTGAGGCAGTAACCACTGGGTGGCAGAAGGTGAACTTGGGAGTGTAAAGGTGAGTGATTGAATCTGGAGTTGGGAAGGGTTGGGCACCTAATTTTTAATTTGTTTTTTGGTTGTTTTTTTTTTTTTTTTTTTTGCAGTGCTGGGGTATTATACCTAGGGCCTCTGCCTGCTAAGGTGCTCTACCACTGACCTCCATTCCTAGCCTCAGATAACATTTGAGGAAGGATGTGAAGAGATCCTGGGGTTACTGTGGGCTGAGAAGAGGCTACCCATTGTGCAGAGGAAAAGGCAGAAAAGATACCTTATGAGTGTGTGGGCTTGTTTTACACTTTTGGTACCATGGTCATAGAAAACACCCAACATGTAGCTATTACTAATCAGCCATCAGGTGAAAGTTCACAACAGTACCCTCCCAGTTCTTCCCACTTTAGGTCTTGAAAGGCCAGGGACAACTTTCTGGACACTTCTCTGACCAAGCATTGGACCCTTGTTAGAATAAAATGGTGACGGAGGGAGATCAAGCCTAGGGATAAAGCCTGGTTTTGAGCGCAGAAGTTGATGCAGAAGGCAGGAGGAAGTTGGCAGAGTTTGGGGGACAAATGTTGGCATCTCACACTGTCAGTGGCCTGCATGGTGCCACACCCAGTACTTGTAACTACTGAAACTTGAGCCCTGGACCTGTTACTGGACCCAAGTCTAGCTCTCCTGATCCTGTCTTGGTCTTCCCCAGAGTATCCAGTGTTCCCATATTTATGTACATCAGCCAGGCGAACCCCACTTTCTCAGACCTGTTCCTAGAAGTAGAACACATGGGCCAGATGTATGAAAGGTTCCTGAGCAGAAGGGTGGACTCAAGGAGCTCTGAGAGGAGGCCCGTTATGCCTTTCCCTAAGTTCTGGGGGAGCCCTCTCCCTGACCCCAGATGTGTAACACATCCAAGTTCCCTGCCTGACCTCTGACCCCGTTCTTCTCTCAAGAGGCCAATTAAGTCCAGAGACAAGGTGGTTCAGCAAGAAAGATGACTATTACTATTTGGCAGTACTAGGGAGAGGGCTCCACACTTGTTAGGTGGGTGCTCAACCACCTGAGCCATTCCACCCGCCTACAACTTTTATTAAGTGGAGGGCCGAGGTATTGAGCCAGCTAATTGAGAAAAGACGGACATTTATTCAAAGTCCTTCTGCGGAAGGCTGATTTAAAGGCAGTTCATATAGGAGATGGGTGATCACAGACTGGTAGGTCTCACAGTGGGCAAATGATGCCTCTGTTCCTAATCCTAATCACTAGTCACAAGATGCTTTTCTGTTCTGCACATCTCAGCAACACTGATCACTATTTCCTGGGGTCATGCTTGGTCTTTGATTAGTTTTTGCTCACATGCAGTTCCCTAGTTACACAGTGGACAGGCTAGAGGGGGTAGCTGCCCTGAGGGCCTCTTGCTGATCACCAAACCCAAGGCAATGAGAGAAAACATGCTTCATCTAATTATTGTGGAAGACAAAGGTCAAGTGAGGTTGGGCACGAAATCTGATCTTAGTTCTCGGCTTGAGACCCAACCCTTAGCTAAAAGCCCGACAGCCAACAGCCGCAGAGAGAATGGGGACATTCTCAGGACTGGATTGCTGTAACTCCTGCTTGGTTTAGTGCAGGTCTCGCGGTGCGTCGTGCGCCGGCGCCCTCCAGCGGCTGCAGGCAGCGATGCTCCTCGGGGATAGGAGACCTTTTGACGTAGGTCACAGGAACAAGGCATTTCTCGCGAGATCAGGGCACTATTTCAGCGCATGCGCACAGTGTACTAATCTCTTTTCCGGTTGCTACAGCGCAAGGAGCCATGAGGTGAGTGCTTTATTGGAGCGGTATCTGCGTTCATCCGCGCTTCCAGGTGGTTCGCCGGGTGTGGGGACCCTGCAGGCCGAGTCGGCAGTTCTTGGCGCGGGGTGGCCTACGCGTCTTTCCGATGTCCCGGAGGCTTCCGAGCCCGGCCCGGGTGTGGATTGGGTGGTGAGCCGGCCCTGAGTGCTGTCGCCTCTCCCTCGCAGCAGCAAAGTCTCTCGCGACACCTTGTACGAGGCGGTGCGGGAGGTCCTGCACGGGAACCAGCGCAAGCGCCGGAAGTAAGTGCGGGGTCCCCGGGCGGGCAGGGCTGGGGACCCGCCACCGGGGAAGCCGGCGGCTCAGTGACGGGGTCCTTCCTTCAAGGTTCCTGGAGACTGTGGAGCTGCAGATCAGCCTGAAGAACTATGACCCCCAGAAGGACAAGCGCTTCTCGGGCACCGTCAGGTTGGCACCGCTCAGTGTCCACCCCGCTCTCAGCGTCCCCGTGCGCGCCGCTCCAGGCTGTGGTCGGGCCCGGGGACACTGACGGCCAGGGTAGTTCAGCCCCCTGCCCCGGCAGGCGCGGCCGGACGGACCCCCACCCTGGGTCTTAAAACATGAGGGGAGGCGTGGGGAGGCCTTGGCCGAGCCCGCCGGCTGGCCTGACAAGCCAGGCCAGCTGCTGGCGACCGCGACGCTCCGGGTAAGGTTGTGTCTGCTGTCCTTCCGGGCCCTCCTCTTGTCTGGGCACGTGGGGCTGGCCGTGACCTGCTATGTTCCCCAAAACGCAGGCTTAAGTCCACCCCCCGCCCCAAGTTCTCCGTGTGCGTCCTGGGGGACCAGCAGCACTGCGACGAGGCCAAGGCCGTGGACATCCCCCACATGGACATCGAGGCGCTGAAAAAGCTCAACAAGAATAAGAAGCTGGTCAAGAAACTGGGTGAGCATCGACTTTGGAGGGAGTGGGGGGCAGCGACCATGGGGAAGGGGCTGGCTAAGCACACCAGCCCCGGCTCAAGTGGCTTTACACTTGAATGCTTGGAGGGTTTGGCTTTCTGATGAGGGAGGCCAGGCATTTGTTCTAACTAAGCAGGTGAGAGATTCTGTTAAGTTGGCCTGCCCAGGTGCTATGAATTGGAATAGGTACTTATCCAGGTTCCCCATCTGTGGTGACAGTGGGATTAGACCCATTTTACACGTGGAGAACAAATGTGTCCCCAATTGTCACATGCTGAAAGCCTATAGTTTGAGCCCAGATGACTTTTTTTTTGAGATTCTGGGTACCACTTGAGTCCCACCTCCAGATCCCTGGGCAGTGTTGACCATTGGGTAAGCCTGGTCTAAGACAGGGTTTAGGACTGATAAAAGGCCAGAGGATGTGAGCCTGTGGCTCACGCCTGTAATCCTAGCTACTCAGGAGAATCACAGTTGAAAGCCTGCCTGGCAATTGCTGGTGGAGTGTCTCAAGGTGTAGGCCCTGAATGAAAACCCTAGTACCGCAAAAACACAAAAAGACTTGATGCTTGGAAGGGGCAGAAGAGGGTACTGCTTGGGGGCCATGTTTGTGGTTGGCCGAAATGCCATTCTGGGCTGGATTGTGAAGGCCTGCCTCTGGCCAGGTCCTCAGCATCCCATGGCTTTTCCTCTTTCCAGCCAAGAAGTATGATGCCTTTTTGGCTTCAGAGTCTCTAATCAAGCAGATCCCACGAATCCTGGGCCCAGGCCTGAATAAGGCTGGCAAATTCCCTTCTCTGTTGACACACAACGAAAACATGGTGGCCAAAGTTGACGAGGTGAAGTCCACAATCAAGTTCCAGATGAAGAAGGTAAGGCCACCTGCCCTGGCTGGGGGCGCCGGCAGGGTTCACATTCTACTCCGTCAGAACAGCGAAGGCTCTTCAGAGCCCCGCACAGCCCACGAGGCCATTGGGGAAGGAAGGAAAGGCCCCTGTTTCCCTCCACCCAGGTGCTGTGTCTTGCTGTTGCTGTTGGTCACGTGAAAATGACAGATGACGAGCTTGTGTACAACATCCACCTGGCAGTCAACTTCCTGGTGTCCTTGCTCAAGAAGAACTGGCAGAATGTCCGGGCTTTATACATAAAGAGCACCATGGGCAAGCCACAGCGCCTGTATTAAGGCTCATGCTAATAAATCCTCGGCCACCACTGCTTTGGTCTGTCTGCCTGCGACTGGGGCTGCAGGGAGGGTGCCTTGCAAATGGTTCTTCCACCTTGGTGATGGTTGTGGGGGGTGCCACAGAAAGAGGGCATATTCTCCCTTTTGCTAGTAAGTCCTGCAGTCTTGTTCAAACCTGTTGGATATTTAGAGTGACAGTACAGCTGCCAAGTGGGATTGAAGTTTTCAGATAACCCTGAGAAGGGCAATTTAAGGCTGGGACTCTGCTCTTTCAGCCAGATTGTGGGATGAATGGCAGGACCTGCACAGTGAAGGTATTAATTCAGTCCTGCAGCTTTAACCTACCCTCAACCTGTTTCCTTGTGTACCAGTCTTTAGAGAAAGCTTTTGGGTCTTACATTTTGGTAGCCCTGCATTGAGAGTGGGTGAAGGTCCAGGCAAATAGAGACTACAAAATTGAAGGGACCAGTAGGTAGGTAGAGTCAGGCTGTAGAAATTTCCAGGCTTTTTACCCAGACAGGCTCAAGCCTCTTTTTTTTTTTTTTAATCCATTTATTCATATGTACATAGATTGGGCCATTTCTGCTTCACCCCACCACCACCCCTTCCCTCTCCCCCAACAGGCTCAAACTCTTAACACCCTGGCCATGCGAGGCCTTCCTGTTAAACTGTTTCATCTCTGCCATGCAGTACTAGAATGTGGCTTTGGTGTGGTGGGAAATGCTTGTGCCTTAATATTTTGAGTCAAATCTGCTTCACTTTGACAGTGGAGGGACCAGTTCACCCTTCTGGGCCTCATTGCCCAATTCAAGTGCTTGCCTAGCATGCGCCAATGCCCTAGGTTCAGGGCCCAGAGGAAAAATGCTGGTTGTCAAGCAAGGTTTCCACTCAAGATCTTGAGCAGGGTTTGTTGCTTAGCTTTAGGCAGCGCTAAGCAGGGCTGCCCGAAGTGCTGGGCACGCCCACTTCTGTTGTGTATTAATGAGACAAGCCAGTATCTAGTAGAATTTGAGCAGTGCCCCCCCCCAATAAGGAACGAGAGCCTGACAAACCATAGTGAGGACCCAGATTTATGGGCAAGGGAGGAGTAAGGATTAAACGAGGTAAAAATGATTAGAAGCTTGTTAGTGGGGATTAAACTGGAATTAAAGTAAGGTGGTTTCCTTTGCTTTGGGCTAAGTTTTCTAAATGTCTTGTGCTCTGCAGTGGTGGAGGGAGGGAGCTTGAGATAACGATCATCAGAAGGCTAGAGTGGAAGCCTAGAGTGGGTACTCTACCAGTAAGTTTCTGGACCCCCTTCCCACTTGATGGGCCTCCAAACACACTCCCATCCTACAGATGACAGTGGGGTCTCTAATGCAGTGGACCAAGGCAAAAGGCAAAGACAACATTGCCAGTGACCAGCTGAAGTACATGTAACCTGACATCTCTATCTGCAGATTTGACCCAAATGACCTAAAATTAAGACTCTAGGATTGCCAGCCTCAATAGTTAAGTATAGAATATACAAATTTGAATTCCAGGAAAATTTTTAGCATTGCCCAGGAACATGTACTGAGCTGAAATAGATTGCTGGGTGTCCTGTGTTTTATCCTTAATTCTAGAAGCCTCATTCAGCATTCCCTGCTCACAGAATGCCTGGGTCTCACAGTGGCTAGTGAATCCAGTCAAGTGCCGGTGAAAAGGCTGGGGCAGCCTCCTGGGGGAGTAAATGTCCACTACCTCCAGGAGACACCCTTCATCCTCCCCTCCCCATCCCAGCCGGCAGAGTGGGAGGTGGGGCAGGGCAGGGCTTGTCTGGGCAGATCAGGGTCAGGCTCTTCTGTTGTCCAAGGCCTGGTGGACTGCTGCTTTAACAGGGCCCTTGGAACTCCAGTCTCGGTTGTTTGACCTTGGGCAAGTCACAAGTGCAGCACTGATTACATACATGTTGTTTACTGCCACACGGAGGTGTGGGATATTGGGAGCTGGCAGTTTTTGTGGAACTCCTGCATCATGGTCGGCCTGGGGTCCCCCACCAGAACGGGTGAGAAGCACTGGGACAGGAAGAGCACCCACTGGAAGCTAAGATCTAGCACACAACTGGTCACAACTGACCCAGAGATAACTTTAATTTCGTTTTGAGCAGGAGCCAGGCCTTGAGGGGCCCTTACCCCAGCCCACAGACACATTGTGACACAACCCATCACAGCTGGATTTTAAAAATACACAAAAAATACATAATACATGTTATAAAACCTAGGTGGGGTCTGGAGGTGGCCTGAGCAGTATGCTGACTGTGAAGACCTTCAGGAAGCTCGGGCAGGGTGGGGGTAAGGAAGGGAAGGGGCACAAACAGTACTTCATATGAAACTCATAAATACCCACTGGGCCTGGTGTGGAGAAAGACCAACAGGAAGGGGCTGACCTTTGCTCCCCGACCTGGTTAGGGAGCTGCCCAGGCAGCCCCGGGCTTCCAAACCAAAGCCTGAAGGCCTTTGCTCCCTGTTCCAACACCTCTGGTGTGCCAGACTCAGGCCTGGGGCTGCTGGCTGGCTGGCTGGCTTGGGGGCTGAATGCTCCCCTTCTCCCCTGCACTGGGGGACTGAGAGGAGGTGCTCTGTCCAGGCACAGGCCAGGTGCAGCCACTTCCCCGCTATGGCCACCTGTGCTCCAGGGAGGTAGGTAAACCTGGGCTCTAGCTCTGCCCCCTCCCTTTGGGACATCCACCTCTGTCTCAGCACTTCATCTAAAACATGGAGACCCAGCCTGCTTTGCAGGGTCTTGAGGATGGCAAAAGCCCTGCAAGGAGTCTGGCATGAGGCCTGACACCCAGAGGTGCTAAGTGGCCCCCTCCCCTCAACCCAGCCCAAACCTATTCCTGAACCTCCACAGGCTGCCGTCCTCCCCCAGTCTCCACTCTGTCTTCACCTGCCCATCACATTCCCCTGGGGGCCAGAAGCCACACCTACTGGAGCCCAAAGGCATCCCCATCCCCATCTCTAGCCACGTGATGGTGGGTCAGCGCTGATGGGCTGCCCCACCACTGAGCCTTCCTCTTCCACAGTAAAGCGCAGAACAGTGGCAGGGAACATGTGTGCTGGGGGGGCGGGGAGGCCTCCTGGGTCCTGGCCTGAGACCTGCAGGAGTCCTCAACCTGGACCCCTGAGGGGCCAGGCAAGTGTGTTTAGGTGTTCATCCTGCATCCTTGGGGGGCAGTGGGCCTCCTAGTCTTTGACGAGCTTGTAGACGTGGTGCTGGGCCCCGTGCTCACTGGTGGAGACTTCGAAGACAAAAGCAATGACAAGCAGGGTCTCCTGGGAGTCCCGGCTGGTGACCACCTGGGGGGCAGAGAGGAAGGTTGGGGCTCAGCAGAGCGCTGGCCCACCCCGAGGCACCCGGCGGCGCGCCGGCCTACCTGCAGGATGGTGAAGTTCTCCAGCACGCTGTTCATCATGTACTTCTCGGGCAGGTGCTTCAGCTTGTGGATGAAGTTGACCATGTACTCGCACATGGGCGAGCGGTGGATGCGGTACACGAAGCGGCCGTTCTCCAGCCGCGCGTATTCCGTCTGTGAGCAAGGGCGGAGGGAAGTCATCTGTCCGTCGCTGGACCTGTCGGCGCCCGCATGTGCCCCAAGGCCCCACTCACCTCCACCTTCTCCACCACCTGCTTGCCGAAGGAGCACACCTTGGTGGAGACGCTGATGGTCATGCTGTCTGCGGAGCTGTACTGGGAACTGACCCCATAGAAGGCGCCGGGGCCTTCCTGGATGGTGCTGTTGAGGTCGGCCTGCGACAGGGGCGTCAGTCCTGCAGAGGCCAGGGGTGGCCTCCTGCCTGGCCACATCGTGTCCCACCCCGGGCCCATATCTGCCCACAGGTCATGGGGGAAGGGTGGGTTCAGAGGTCAGGCCTGGGCGTGTTGCCCATGGTGGGGGAAGGAGGCTCACCCAGAACTTGACGAGGAAGAAGGCATTAGGGGGCCCTTTCTCATACAGTTCCTTGAGTCCGCCCTTCTTCTCCGGGAACTTGTCGTAGATCTGGCGCACGTCCACTGCCTCCAGGGGTGGGTCTGAGAAGGCGGGGTTCGTCTGGCCGATGTGCACAAACAGGTGTTTGCTGTACTGTGGGGAGGGCCAGCGGGGTCAGGGGGGTACTGAGCATGCAGGGACAGAGCTGCCCTGGGGCTTCCTGAGTTCAGGACCCTGAGCTAGAGTCCTGAACTACCCACGAGACTCCGCAACTGCACAAAGCACCCCCCACCCCCAAACGTGTTACCGTGTCAGGGTCTCGCTGCACTTCCATGAAGGCTGAGTACTCGAGGAGCCGCAGCCGGGAGGAGGCAATGGTGCGGTCCTGCCACACGGGCACAGAGGCAGAGGCTGAGGGCAGGGGGCCCAGCGGCTCATAACCTGGGAGGGCAAAGGAAAGCCGCACCTGCATGGGCTGGCGCACACAGTGACGCACAAAGCTGTCCCCGGCCTGCACTGAGCCTGTGTGCAAGTTAGAAAGTGAAGCCACTTCTGAGTGGGAGCACGGGTTGGATTGGTTCCTCTATTAGGTGTCTTGTGCAGCATGTGACCTGCACAACCAGACAGTGGCCCTGGTGAGAACACAGGACATTTCATTTTCCTTGTCACTGTTAATGTGTGTTTCAACTGAAAACACAGAAAATTAAAGAGAGAATAACAATTACCTAGAATCCACTGCCTAGACAGTGAATTCCTGCTGAGATTTGGATATTTCCTTCCAGGGAGATTTCTATCTCATAGACATTATTATAAATACAATACTTTGGTGACGTGTGTGTACATACCGTGTACATTTCTGCCTGAGTTCTAGAAGCAACATGTGTAAGTCCTAGTCCCCTACAGCTACCCCCCAGTACACGCGCGCGCTCTGGGCCCCAGCTCTCCTGAGTAGATGGCAGGTGCCGAGAGCAAGCCACCTGCTGGCGGGGACACTTACTGCTGAGCGTCGGTGGCAGGGGCGGCTGGATGGGGTAGGCTGGCTGTGCAAAGGGCTTGATGCTGCAGACAGGAGCACAGCCTGGTTAGAGGCCCTTCAAATCCTTTCCCTTGCCCCGGCCCCTCATCCGGGTCCCCAAGAGGAAGTCACACAGCCTTTCTGCTGAGGTCAGCAACGCCTGCTGACGAGCTAGCCCACAATCTTTTCCCCTCACATTTCAACTTTTATGAGGTCTGCAGTGTCTCACAGTTGCTGCACATGTTGCATTTCACCCCCACCCCGAAAAGCTGTTCATTAATTTGCAGGAGTGGTTGACAATGAGGACCTGGGTACACTTGACTCAGAGTCATCGGGTGCAAAATAAACCTGGGGATTGGCGAGGCCAGGTGAAGGGGCTTCAGAATGGAGAAACCCAGGAATGGACAGAGGCCGGAGGTCACTGACTGCAGCCTCCACCCTCCCAACTTTGAATGAGAGCTTGCTCAGCGTGGCTGGAGAGGGGAGACACACAGGATGGAAGGGAAGGGGACTAGGGAGGAGGGGATACTCACTCCTGAGAGGGTCCAGGCTGCTGTCCCAGGAGAGGGGGGCCACTCCAGAACTGCAAAGGGGGGGGTCTCAGTATCCAGGAACCCCTGATCCATACCCCACGCCAGCACCCTCCCGAGCCCTACCCTTGACGAGGTGGAGAAGACAGCCTGGGGCAGAGGGGAGGGTGGGCTGAACTTGTTCTGCAGAACGCTGGCGGAGACAATCTGGGCAGAAGACATGGACGCCATGCTCTGGAGGGCTTTGTCCTTGGACACCTGGTCCTGGGGACAGAGGGACCACATGAGACCCAGGCCAGACTATGGGCCCTGAGGGCTCTGGAGGCCAGGTCTGGGTTCCAGCCCCAGCTCTGCTCTCTGGTCCCAGGAGAGTCTCTACTCTGCTCTTGCCCCAGTCTCCGACTTGTACCCCACCTCTGACCTCAAGCGGCATTCTGCAGCCCAGTAGGGTTGTTATCTGGCATCTAGTGGGGGAGGGGCAGGTCCCTTATATGAACTAGTGTGGTAGATGCATGGAACCTGCAGTCCTCCCTGTACTGTGTATCACTTCTAGACTATGTATAATACCTAACAGTGTAAACAATATGCACATAGTTGGTTTTTTTGGTTTTGTTTTTTGTTTTGGTAGTGGGCCTGGGGTTTGAACTCAGGGCTTTGTGCTTGCAAAGCAGGCACTCACTCCAGTCCATTTTGCTCTGGTTGTTTTGGAGATGGGGATCTCAAGGACTGTTTGCCTGGGCTGGCCTCAAACCACAATCTTCCCGATTTCAACCTCCCAAGTAGCTAGGATCACAGGCATGAGCCACTGGTGCCTGGTGTGTTCCACAGTTTCTGTTCTATTTCACTGGTGGTCAGAATCCCCTGGGCACACGTGAGAAGCACAGACAGTCAGGCCAGGCGCTGACCATCGTAACAAGCTTCCAGGTGAGTCTTCAGTGCGCTAACACTGGAGGGCCAAATTCTCCTTACGAACCCACTAAACTTGTCTCACAATCTGTAACTTGGGGTGCTTTTGTTTTGTTTTGTGTTTCTGCCATGCTGGGGATGTAACCCAGCCCCCACCCCATGCAAGTGCTCTATGGCTGAACCCCACCCCCACCCCTGTGATGCTCTGCAGACCCTCCTCCCCCAGGAGAAGCCCCATGCTACTTACCAGGTTCATGGCCTGTGAGGAGAGAGGGAGGATAAGTCAGCTGATCAGACTGATGCACAGGAGGCTCCACAGGGTGAGGGGCCACGTCTGTTCATCTGCCCGCCCAGTGCCTGCCTGGCCATCAGCTCCCCAGGAGCTGGGGGAAGGCAGCTAACCCTCCCCACCCCGAAGAGGGCGTGCTTGCCAGCTGGGGGTGCCCTGACAATGGGAGGATGCGGGAGGAACAAGCTGGTACCCCTGGGTCTGTCTGTGTCCACTGGAACTGTGCTATAGGGACGGGGGCTGGGATCAGGGAAAAGACCTAACAACCGGCAGGGGACCCTGATGAGAACCAGACTGAGATCCTGAGCCATACAGCAGCCAGGAGTAGGAGGAACTGACACCAACCCGACAGTCCCCCTCCCTGCCCACCTGAAGACCCCATGCAATTAGCAAGCAGCAATTAGGAGGAAGGAGAAAAAGGAAAGTGAAGAGGAGAGGTGGGCCTCAGTGGAACCCCAGATGATCTTCCTCTCCCTCACTGTAGTGTTGGCTGTCCCCTTGGCTCCTGCTCAGTGTCCAGGGACTGTGGCCCTGTGCAGCCTGACACAGCCTTTGGGCTTTCCGCTGACACTTGTGTTTCTCAGACCTCCTCACAGCTTCTCAGCAGGGGTCCCCATACCTTCAGTTTGGACTGAATCTCCCGAGATTTCCGCCTGGCTAGAACCTGCAAGTGGCTAGAGACCTGCAGAGGGAGAGAGAGAAAGAGAAAAAGGACAGGGAGAACAGGAACAGAGGCAAGAATGGAGCTGCAGCCAGAAAAGAGGCACAGTGGGCTGGAGAGCCAGTGAGGCAGAGGCCTGGCTGGGCAGAGAGCAATGGAGGTGCCACAGGGGGGCCTAAGAAGGGCTGGAGGCTCCAGCCAGGCGCCCAACGTACCTTGATGCCAACCTGGTACTCCCGCACCTTCTTCCGAGCTAGAACCTGTATGTGGCTGGACACCTAGGGGCCGCCCCGCGCCCCGCCAGAGAGGAAAACACAGACAGTGAGGAGGCACGGCCATGGGTAGCTATGGGCGAGAGCATCCCAGCCCTCATCTCTGGGGAACCGAATGTAATTGGGGGATCTCTGGAGCCCTAGTGGGCACTGCCATTCTGTTCTCTTGGTTTTTTATTGATTAGGAGCCCACAGTAGCCTCCAGGATACCATGTACAGTTGTATAGGTTGTTCACTGCCTGGAGGGTACCAGTGAGAGCTGGAATCCAGCCTGGGTTCTGCTGGCTGGTCACACTGCGTTCCCAGCACAGAGGCTGCACCTAATCAGGGGAAGGGTGCCTCTCCCCACTCTAAAAAGGGGCAACTTTTTCTCACTGGTGTCCTCAGACACCTTTTTCTAGTTGGCAGTGGCCAGGACAATCCTGGTGGCTGTTAAGATTACACACCAACGCCACATCCCCTACCAAAAGTCCCCTTCTCCCACCTAAATCCTCAGCAGTCTGCCAGGTCCTACCCCTGCCCTTTTCTCCTTGGACTACCAGATGTCGGGGCATCAGCACACAGTAGGTGCTTTCACTCATGTTTCCCTCCAGCTTTGCAGGCAGACCTGAGCTACGCCAGGCCCGATGTCCACAAGGCAGCAGCCTTGGCATGGGCCAGCACCTGATCTGAGCCAGAACCCCACAAGCTGGTCTCCCTAGGAAGCCTGCTGGAACTCGAGGCTGCCCCACTGTCAGCATCAGCAACCGCTGTGGGCTTTCTTTACAAGCTGTGTTTATCTCCATCTCAGTCTAAAGGTGACTCTGTGTGAGATGGCGCTGGGACTGATAGGAACAGCCTCTGCCCGGGACAGCCATGCCTTACTTCCTGTCTGGTGATCCTGACGGTGTCCCACTACTGTGGGACATCACATTCCGGACTCACTCGACCTTTGCAGCAACACTAAGAAGTTAGTGTTGCAAATGACAAAACCAAAGCCCAGAGAGGCTAAGCAATATATCCAAGGTTACACAGCTGGATGCTAGCAATGGAACTCAAATCCAGGCTGTCTGAGTCTGGAGCCCACTTACTTTACCTCCAAGCTACTGTACCAGGCCTCCGAGTCCCTTAGCACAGAGGAGCCCTGCATGGCCAGCTGGAAGCCCTATGGGGCTTACTCCTGACTTAATATTTAGCTCTTTAGCCAATCAGAAGGCAGAGTTAAAAAAAAAAAAAAAAGAAAAGAAAACTGCATTTCTTTGCCAAAAGTAAAATAAAAGTAACCAAAAAAACCTTTGTCACTGGTTATTTGTGACAAAGACATGCACATCCTCACAACCACAGGACAGGTCTCCTTGTAAGGGACATTAGATAAAACCTGGTTCTAACAAGGAGCACAGCTGGAGAGGGGTCTCACCCTTGGGCATGGCTGAGACCTTGGTTTTCTGGTTCTGAGCTTGTGGCCAGCTGGCCAATGTGGCCTCTGTGCAGCAGCCTGGCCAGGAGCAGGCATGAGGCTGGGTGCAATGACAGGCCACTGTTCAGTGCTGAGCCTGCTGACCCTCGGCCCTTCCCATGCAATGGGTGTGGCTGAGGCGTGCCTTGGAGCTTAGGGCAGCTCTGGTTTATGACGGGGACAGTCACTAAGGCAGCAGCTCCCACACAGCACAGCACACTCTTGCAGGGTTTCACATACTAATTCACGAAAGGCTGAGGAGCCAGCGCCCAGGATCCCCCACGGGAGTCCCACGTGACCTGGAGTCTTCTTGCTTAACCATCAAGGCCCTCTTCTGCCTACAGGTCCAGGCTCAGGGACCAGGGCCCCCACTGTCCCCTGCTGTGTCCCAGTGCCCAGGCCACAGGACTATCTCAAAACTTGCCACAGGTTCCCTTGCTGGGCGACATGCAGGGGCCCAGGGTGGACGGTTAACAAAAGCAGAGCAAGCTAGGTGCCAGTAGCTCACGCCTGAAATTCTAGCTACTCAAGAGACAGAGATCAAGAGGATCGAGGTTCAAAGTCAGCCCAGGCAAAATAGTTCAAGACCCTATCTTGAAAAAACCCATCACACACAAAAGAAAGGCTGTCTGAGTTCAAGCCCCAGTACCGCAAAAAAAAAAAAAAAAAAAAAAAAGGCAGTGCAAATGAGGAGCCCTTCCCACTTCCACACGGGGCAGGGGACCCACAGCCCTCCTTTGAGCGGGGGACCAGGTTGGATATTTGTCCTCCACACTGATCAGGGAGCTGGGAAGGGCTGGGGCAGTAGCTGGCCTCTCTGCCTCCAGGTCCCTACCTCTGGCTATCACCACTCCCCTCTAGCCCCCACCTCCAGCCTCAGCCAGGTCCCCACCACTGTCCATCCAGGTCTCTGCCTCCTGGTCTCCTCGTGGCCCTCCCCAATTCACCTCCCCAGCAGCCCCCGGACCTAGTCCTCCCAGGGGCCCACTCTACTCCTGCTCTGTGCCTCCAGGCCCTTGCTGCTTGGGGGCCCCACACCTCTGGCTGACTCCCTCCCCCCCAGCTCTGTCCCATCCCTCCTCCAGCAAGCTGCTTCTGGATGGCTCTGTCTGGACTGATCCAGAATCCATGTCCCAGCCCAGTGACACTAACGTAACTGGACTTGCCCCTGCCTCAGTTTCCTCATCTGAAAAGTGGAGACACTCAATGCCTACCTCCTAATGCAGGAGGGGGTTAAATGGACTGATACGGGGTAAGCTCTGAGTGGCTTGTGAGCATAGGCTTCACTCTGAGAAACACGCCATGAGGGGATTTCATTGTGTGCAAACATCTTAGAGTGCAGGTACACAGATCTCAAGGTACAGCCTACTGCACACCTGGCTGTCCCATGCATGGTCCACTCTTGCCTAAAACATTATGTGACCACAACTCTATTGCTATTTATATATCCAGCTTCCTCAGCCTGGCAGAATCCTCCCCTCCTTGCCTATGTAACACACTCATGCCTTCTTATAAATGCAGCTCAGGTGCTGCCTCCTTCAGGAAGCCCACCTAGCTCTCTCTCTCTGCCCCTAACGGTATGGGTTAGAGGCTTGTGCCCTGCACACACCCCTATCTCAACTGTGCTACCTAGCTCTGCACTTGTCTATCTGTCTGTCTCCCTGGACCACTCAGGGCCATGGGACAGCAGCCCCATGGGCTTCTCTGTGGTCTCTGAACCCAGGACAATGAGCAGAGCACTCAGAGCTGTGCGGAGATCATGTGACATCACCCCGCAGGGGCAAGGAGCACCAGGGTGCTGGGCTGGACAGAGCAGCCCCAGAGGGCAATTGGAGGCATAGCTGAAGCCCCATCTCTCTACCTGTTTTCTTGTCCGTGTCTTCCCTGTCCTCAGTTTGATGTAGCGTGCAATCAGCTCATTTCGACCTAGATAGGGAGAGAGGAGAAATGAGGAGGGGCAGAGGGTGGTGCTGGAGGCTTAAGACCCCTCCAAACTGTACAAGCAGCTGCAAAGGTCAGGGGCATCCCCTGTGCTCCCCCTACAGCCTCTAGGAACCGGGATGGGGGAGGACTAAAGAGGAAGGAGGGCTGGCCCTGACAGGTGAGGGAAGAGAAGGAGTGGGACACTCCTTGGAGGCTGAGGGAGCACATCTGTGTGTGGAGTGAGCACAAGACCCTGTGCACTACTGTACAGGGCTGGCCTGGGCTCTGGTCCCTGCTTGGTCCCGGTCATGTGAGGAGACCCTGGACCAGTCCCTTCCCTTCTCTAGGAAAGGAAGGCCTGGAAGGAAGGAGGGCTGTCTCCAGCATGTCCCCTGTACTGACAGCCTGGGTCAAGATGTGCCACCGAGCATGTCACTGTGCCCTGGTGTCCTGCGACCGCTACTTTGTGTGACCGCTACCATGTCACCCTGTGAAAGAAAGCCCAGTTGCTCTTGAGACTTGGGGTGGGGACTCTGTTCAGCCACATGACCCCTGGGGTACTCGGCTCTGCAGGGGGAGGAGGGTTACTGGACACATGGCTGGTGCACACCAACATTCAGGGTGCCCTCCATGCCAAACCCAAGCCCCCTGCCTCCAGTTCCTTGGCCTCCCCAGAACAGCCACATTCTCCAAATTCCTCTCCCATGACAGAAGCAGGCCCACTGCTCCTCCCTCCCCACCAGCCCCCTCCACCCCGCTTCCTCCACCCTGTCTAAAAATACCCTGTGGGGCTGCCTGGCCACCTGGGAGGTAGCAGTGGGGGAGGCAGCCCCGCCCTTAGGAAGGCACCCCAGAATGTCTGCCAGGTGTGGGGCTCAGGGAAGGATGGGCATGTCCCAGGGTTGGGGCCAAGGGACATGGGCAGCCCTGCCATGTCTACACACTGGTGGTCCTGGATGCTGGCGGGCCAGTCCCCAGCCATGGCTCTTAGGGAGGGCAGGCAAGGAGGGTGGAGCTATTCAGGAACCAGGCTCAGAGGGTCATTATCCCAGAAATGCAGCTATAGGGGGCTGTCTTAGGGCTGGACGAGAGGGGACAGTCCTTTCTGGAGCTGGCAAGATGACCAAGAAGGCCACACAACAGTGGAACCTGGGAGAGGGGCATCTGAAAAAGGCAAGTCCGCACACCCCTCAGCTCTCTTTCCCCACACAGCCTCTGTCCCACACAGTGCCACCCTGGGGCTGGAGGCCCTAGGCCTCCTCCCCACACTCTCCCAGGGTTGGGACCCTGTCACAGGTCTGGCCTGAAGCCAACTGGACTGACCCAGTTTTCTGGGCCCACTGAGTCACCCCGAAACCTCCAGGCCGCAGGGAGGAGCAATGGGGCAGGGGCAGGCAGTGACTGTGGGCTGCGGCCTCCTGTGTGTGAGAAGCAGCTGGAGGAGGCCCCAGACACAGGCTCGCAGGCCTGGACTCGCCCGCACTGGCGGCCAGGACTTCCCCGACCGGTTGGGTAAGGGGGCAGAGAGCAGGGGAGGGCCAGGGTGCCATCCATCCATCCATCCATCCAGCAGTGTCCCCGGCCTGCTGCAAGGCACGCACCGTACATCTTGCCCTCGTCCGACAGGATGATCTTGCGCCGGCCGCAGGGCGGGTAGATGGCCAGGGCTTCCTGGAAGCTCTGCTCGATGTCCGGGCTCCACACGCCCTCTGCATCGTTGTCCAGCCCCTTGTCCAGGCCCTCGGGCCCATCCTCCCGGGCCTCCCCGGGGCTGCTGCTGGTGGTCCAGCTGTTGGACGCTATTGTGCTGGTTGCTCTGGGCTCTGGGCCTGAGCCCACTAGGCAGCCTGAGCCTGTAGGGGCAGACAGACGAAGAGGGTCAGGGCATCCACACCCACCTCTGGCCGCAGTGATTGGCACTGGAACTCTACCCCAAGCCCCAGCCAAGGGGCAGGTGCTCAGGTGGATGGAGGCAGCCAGGGGCTACACTTCAAAGCTGTGTGACCTTGGATGTATTACCTTACTTCTCTGAACCTGAGTCCTATAAAATAAGGAAAGGATCTCCTTGGGGTTGTGAGGGTTAAAATTTACGTGAGATCACAAAGTACCAACCCCAATGCCTGGCTCAGAACACTGGAGAAACTACTGTGGTGAACCTTAAGAACAGCAGTGATAATAACGGGGTGCCTCTACACAGTGTTTTTCTACTCAGTCAGGCCTCACAACTAAGCAGGGAGGGAAGGCAAGGAGCACTGTCCATTACTCAGATAAGGAAAACTGAGGCTCACGGTCACATGACTGGCAAAGTCCTCATGAAGAGCTGGGAAGAACCCCAAGAGGCAAGGCACATATTTGTGCAGTTCTCAGGGAGCACCTTGCTCTCCCCTGTCAGAGGAGGTCCAGACCCTCACCAGGGGCCCCACTTCTCATTCTTGCTGCAGCATCGATGCAGCGTTCCTTAACACCCATTTCCTGACCCAAGAAGAACATGGTTTCACCTCCCTCAAAAAGATACCTGAGGGGCTGGAGGAGTGGCTCAAGTGGTAGAGCACCTGCCTAGCAAGCGTGAGACCCTGAGTTCAAACCCCAGTGCCACAAAAAAAAAAAAAAAAAAGATATCTTGGGAGGAAGTGCACACCTGTAATCCCTGCACCTAGGAGACAGAGGATTTCGAGTTCTAGACTAGCTTGGGATACACAGTGAGGCCCTGTCTCAAAAAACAAGGGCTGAGGGTATAGCTGGGTGGCAGAGCGCATGGCCAACGTGCAAGGCCCCAGCACAGCAAAACGACAAGAAGCTAAGTGCAGAGCATCCTGCCAACCTAATCCCAGAGACACTGCCCAAGAGTGGCAAGGAGGGGCAACACTGGCTGGTGGTGAGGAGCAGCTGCCTGGCTCCACCCCACGGCTCTTCCATTCACTTCCTGTTCCCGCACCCGGTGGCCCCACAGCAGCTCATAAACCACCCACATGCCTGGCTGTCCTGGCCCACATGGCAGATGGGCCAACCCTCTGTAAACTGAGGTCCCTGCACTCCCAGGAGGAGTTATTCATTTAGACCATGCCCAGCCAGCCCCCACAAAGACTCACCTCACACCCCCATCTCCCCGGAATTCAGAGTCCTAGGGCCCTAACAGCTGGCTCCCAGGCCTCTGTGCTGGACAAATAAGAATGTAGGGGCAGTGGAAAGGTGGGGAACCTGTCAAAAACCAGGGAGAAGAACTTGAAATCCAGGTCCTCCCAGATGGGTGGGGAAGGCTTCTCCTTATGGAGCCACCTACCTGTTTGCTTGGAGAGGCGTGAGGAGGTCACTAGTGGCCGGGGGTGGGAGGGCTTGGAGTATCTGAATAGACATCAATTTTATGTACTTATTTAGAGACAAGGTCTCACTATGTAGTCCAGGCTTACCTGGAACTTGGGATCCTCCTGCCTCAGTTTCCAAAGTGCTGGGATTGCAGGCGTGCATTACCACGCCTGGCTCCTAGACTCAATTTTACTACTAACAACAGCACATGACGGGCACGGCTGAGATTTTACGCACATTGACTCATCCAATCCTCACATTAACCTGTGGGGTAGGTACTATTCTTGACTCTTCCTTACAGATGAGGAAACCAAGGGACAGTCATTACACAACTTGCTCAAGGACACACAGCAAGCAAGTGCTGGAGCTGGGTTAGGGCAAGGGGAAAGGGCTGAGAAACCCTACCACCTAGAGAGAGAAAGGAGGCCCAGCTCTCACAGCAGCTGCCTGGAGTCTGCATAGTGGGGTCCAGATCAAAGGGTCCCCCCTGAGCTTAAATGGCTGGAGTAATTTCAAGGTCCCACACACTGCTTTCTAGCCTCTTCTGAGAGGGCCCCAAGACCTCCAGGAATCTGTCACCATGGCCAGTGGACTACACAGCTCAGGCCCCATCCCCAGTCTGCCCCCACACTCCAGGAAACTATCTAGATCCCCAGCTCCCTTCCCACTCCTTTAGGCAAATGATTGAAATAGAAGTGGGGGGCAGGGGCATGCTAGCCGGCACAGGGAGGAGCTCCAGCAACTCCAAGGTGGAAGGAGTTGGGGGGACCAGGCCTCCCGCTAGGTATCAGCTGTCAAAGGGAGAGAGCAAGAAGCTACCATTAGCTAGGACCCCTCCAAAACTGGCATATGCATTTCTCCCAGCTTGTTTTTCCAAGGCCTCCCTCAGAGCATCAGGGGCCTAGTGCATGGGGGGCCCTGGCAACCCCAGACTTCTAAGCAACTTGCCAGCCTCCCCCAAGTCTCTGGCTGCCTCCCCTCATCCAGGCCATGCCCCCCTCCGGGTGATGTCAGCCCCGCCCCGCCCCCACAGGAGCATGTGGCCAAATATGGCGAACAGAGCAGCCCGGGAGCAGGGACAGACTGGGGGGGGCGGCGGGGCGGCCCCTGGCTGGGACGGAGGCAGCTGGGGAGGGGGAAGGGCACCAAGGAGGGGGCCCCCCCAGAGGACGCATCAAGGAGAGATTTGGAACCCCTGTCCCTCCGCTGGCTCCAGGCACCTGCTGGATTGACCTAGTCCTAGGAACCCCTGGGAACAGAGTACTACATGGGGACCCACAAGTGGCACCCCCAACACACTGCCCCACATAGTAGCACCCTTGCTGGACTGCTGCTGTGCCTGTACCCCAAGCGTAGTTAATCACTGCAGCTGAGGCTGTGTGCGGATGGGACCAGGTCTTATCTGTCCACTTCACTCAGGAGCTGGGAGGCTGGCCTCCCAGAATTACTACAGAAGAAACTGACTGGCTGTGCCTACCCCCAAACCCTGGGGACCAGTGACAGAGTAGGCTAGGGACCCAGACAGAAATCTAGAGAGGCTGACTGGGGCAGGAGCCATTGGAGAGGGTGGCAGTCCCCAGGGGCACGCCTCGCCTTGTGGGCTGTGGCTGCCAAGAGGGCAAGGAGGGGAGACTTAAGGGAGGGGCCAGGTGAAGAGGGGAAGAACACAGAGGGCAGATGGGTCCCAGAGAGAGATACCAATCCAGCAGGCGTCAGACACCAGACCTATGAAGAGACCTATGGAGGAGAACGAGAGACAGGGAGAGAGAGCCCAGGGGGCGCTGGACAGTCAGATCCATAGACAGGCAGGCGGCTGAGGTGGCAGCAAAGACACAGAGATGGAGACCCACAAGGGAGGGGGTAAGGAGGGCAGAAGGAGAAAGGTGCATAAACTCAAATGGCAGACGGGACAGGAAGAAGAAAGACAGGAACAAGGACAGAGAGACCTGGGCAGTCCCAGGGGGACAGAGTTACAAGGAAGGCCAAAGGGTGGGGCTGGGCTCACCTGGAAGAAGACCACCTCCCACCTCCCCTGCACAGGGCCTGGTATTTCTGCCCACAGGCTGCAGAGCAGGGCAGGTGGGTTCACTCACCCCTCACCTTCGCCCTCCTCCACCAGCAGGGCCACACCTGCCTCCCCTCTCCCAGGCCCTCAGCCCTCGGGGTCAGAAGGCGCCTCTGGGCAGGAGCGGGATAGGGGCTGGAGGCTGTGGGAGATAAGGGGCACCTTGCTACCCACTCCCCAGCCTGGGGCCAGACCTTCCAGAAGAACTGGCCGGGCAGCTTCAGGGATGGAGGCCAGAGTTGGGGCTGCACAGAGACCGGGCCTAGACCACTCAGCCCTAGAGCTCCCTTTAAGAGGCAGGTCAGGCCTGGGCCACGGACTCCCCCAGAGCTGTGAGGGCACAGATGACACAAGACAAACTGGCAGGTGGCATCCTCCTTCCCCTCCTCCCAGTTGAGCTGGGCCCGACTGGGTTAAGCAGGCAGCAGCTTTCCAACCTCCAAGCGACCCCAGCCCCCAAAGTGCCCTCACTTTGAGGAGCCAGTCACTCTAGGGTAGGAAGATGAGAAGTCTGCAGCCTCTTCTGAATCCACTGTCCTGTACCCTGGGTTGGGCTGCCCAGGGGGGTGTAAGGCTGTTGAGGGCAGCTGAGAAGGGCTGGTAGCTTCCTATCTCCTTGCCTTTCTTCCCTTCACCCCGCCCCCACAGCGACCAGCTGTTCTCCAGCTGCCAGAGGCTCCCACCCTAGCAGTGGCTATGCTCTGGTTGGGACAAGACTGGGCCAGGGAAGGAGGTAGAAATGGTGTCTGCCTCCCCCACCTCCAGCCCAAGGACCCTAGAGGGACCTGCCAAGTGGCTACACCCTGCCAGGCGGGGAAGGGAGGACCCTCTTCCCTGGAGCAGGGTCCCAATCTTCACAGGAGGAAGCAATTTGCAGAGCCCAGGACGAGGAGATGTTGGGGCCTCCTCCCCTCACCCGCTCATTAATGTGCTTCCAATTTGGGAAGCAAGACTCTTGCCCCCCACACTGGGGTAGGGGCGTTCTCAGGGAGCAGTGGTGGGATAGCCCCCCAGAATCCCTTCTCCAAAGCTCACCCACCATCAGACTCCCTCCTCAGAATAGTGTAGGGGGCGGAGGTGTAGACTCGGAGCCCTGAAGCCCCCTGCAGAGAACAGCCAGTCCCCAGACCTCCCTTTACCCACTCTGGGATGGCCCTGGTCTTCTCATCTGGGCCGTTCCCAGGGAGCAAATCCACAGATCCAGAAGGAGACAACTTGGGGGACAGTATCTCATAGTGCTCAATTAACATGCCAATCATCCCCAGGTCACCCACAGAGCTGCCCCCAGTCAATCAATTCTGTCCATTAGGAAAAGAATCAGAAATCCTCTTTGAACACACAGGCTCCCTCTCTCTGTGTCTTTCCCTTTCTCTCAGTCTGTCACAGTCCTGCACTACTCTCCTTCCTGGGCTTAAAAAAAAAAAAAAGTATTAAAGTAAAATATACATAACATAAAATTGATCATTTTAATCTTTTTTTTGAGGCAGGGTTTCCCAATGTAGCCTGGAACTCAAGGTCCTCAGCCTTAGCCTCCCGAGTGCAGGGATCACAGGTGTGTACCACTGCACCTACCTCGTTCTAACTACTTTTCTGTGGACAGGTGAGTGGCAGTTAAGTCTACTCCTTCTTCCCGTTTTTCACCGTATCTTTCTCATGGTCTTCCCCATAGATGCTACATGCACTGGAGTCATAGGTCCCCACACCCTGTCTGCACAGTCACTGAGGATGTCACCCACACAAGCTCAGATAGTGACCACCCACAGAGCCAGTCTCAGGCACACCCCACATGGTTTCTTGCACGCAGAGCCGTATACCAGGGTGGCTTTCTCATGCTCAGTTTCACCTACCCAGGTGCCCATGATCGTCGCTCTTGGTGCACACAGTGCTTACACACGTCACATTGTCACAGGTGGTCCTATGGTTTTGGTGTTGTCACTCAAAGACACACCATTTCACAACATACAACAGAAGTGATCACACCACAGCATCATATGTCACACAGTATGTCACTCATTCTGCCTCTCACACATACACAAAATCGCAGTGTCCCCCACACATAGCCAGCGTCATCCACGGCACACGGATGGTCAAGCAGTTTCCTTTAGATGTGTCCAGTGTGACAGTCCCCCCGACACACAAAGTGCCACCCACGCAACTTCTCACGCACAAGTGCAGTGGTACATCCACAGAGACACACACCAAGATTCACAGTTTCTCTCATGAACTGTTGTTACCAGTCACACGCAAGGAAAGTCACAGACAGCTTTCTTAAGTATCGATCCTCTCCCATACATGCCCACCTCAGTCTCACCTACACAGAGCATCCCCTCCAGGCCCTCTCCCGCTTCCATCCAGTCACACACAGTTGCACTCTCATTTCCCTCTATCACTTCCTGTCCCTTGGGACTGGCAGGGAGTCCAGGAAACAATCAGCACTCTAGGAAACCCCAGGGGCTGAGGCTTTGGGGACTGGCCTCCCATGCACTCCCCTCAGCAGCAGCTTCTCCTGCAGACAGCATTGGGCTGGCACAGCGGGAGGGTAAGGGTGAGCAAAGCCAAGAGGACAGGGCTGTGGTGACCCACAGATCCCCTAACTCTAATCAAGAGGCTCCTACCACAGCCCCAGGCTGCCCAGAGGTCCAGGGGGCCCAGGATTCCTCTGACCCCACAGCTTCTGCGCCCCAGGTGGGAATTGAGGCTGGGTCTTCCAGATAAGTTCTTTCTACCCCACAGAGTGCAGTACTCAGAGTCTCATGGCTTCGGGTTCCCTAGGAACCCACGCCACCAACAACCTTCTCACTCTTTTCACTCACCCCTCCTGAGTCAGGGGCAGGGCTGGCAGCTTACCAGTGTCCACACAGAGCCCTAGAGGTTCCCAGAGGGCTCTAGGAGTGGGGAAAGGGGATGCCACCAGTGGCCTCTGAGCACCATGTTTTCCAACCTAGCCCTGCCAGGCCCACTGCCACCTCAGAGGGCAAGTTCCCCCAGCTCCACCCAAGCCTCCTGGTCCCAGACACCTGCTGAGAGCCACCTTCTCAGCTGTGCTTGCCTGGTTTAGCTCTCCTCACCTTCCCCCACCCCCAGGGCTAGCTTCTCCCTTTTCCTTATACCACCTAGGGTCACCCACTCACCTCTCCAGACCCCACCAGGTTCAGGTTCCATGATGGTGGGAGGAGGAGGAGGAGGAGGAGGAGGAGGAGGAGGAAGGCAGACAAGAGACAGAGTCTCTAGGAGGGCTCAGAGAAAAGGCACCCTGGAAGTCATGACAGGTGGTGAAAGGTCCTGCTGGGAGCAGGTCCCTCCCTTCTTGAACCCCTTTGTTGAGCTGTCTCCTCCCAGTTTACTATTATTTCTCCAACAGCAGGATGTCTCAGGAAGTACAGACTTCAGAGTGAGGGTGGGCTCAGGACACAAACACGCGTGCATACATTCATGTGCACATAGGCACACATCCTCTCAAAGCACTGTCCTGCCAACCACTGACCATCCTGCTTGGCCATTCCCCAGCCCAAATGTGCTAATTGGCATTAATTCCAGTCCCTTTCCTTGGGGCTAGGGGAAGGCCAAGAGGTCAAGAGGACTCACACTCCGGGGTTCCAGCCCCTCTCTGAGGAGGGGGTATCTAGGGCCCCTGAAATCATCCTTACCAGAACCTATCCTGGAAGGTACATAAATTCATCCTCTCCCCTCAGGGAGAGAGGAACCCAAACCACAGAACCCCATCTTCTGGGGGTACTGCTAGGAGAGGAGTGTCTTGGGAAGGGGCTCCAGGAGTCTGGAAGGGAGGGGCTCTCCAACCTTTTAGGACTTCTTTTTCTCCAGGCCCCAGGCTGCCCCCAGCATCCTGGCCAAGTTGGTGTCTGGCCCCCAGCACTAGGCAGAACATGTGCGTACACAGAACTAGGCCGCAGGAGATCAAATACACAGCCACCATGGGCACCAGCCCCTCTGAGCTGTGTCCAGCCCCTATCCCATCCTCTGTGCTAGGCTACAAGTCCAGGCCTGACCTGGAGAGAGGGAGAATCAGAGGTGCAACCCCTGAGAAGCCCTCCCCCAAGGCCTCATTCCCCCTTTCCCTGAAAGAATCTGGGCCTTGAATCAGGGCCCCTCTCCAGGAAAGGTGACAGTGGGTCTCAGTGACACTGCCCCAGGGCCTGGTCGGGCTGAAAAACAGAACCAGACCAGCGTCCCAGCCTCCCTTCTCAGCAGGAATAAAGGACATGACAGACAATGGCGGGGACCCGTGTGGGAAGGGGTGAAATCAGCCGTCCTCAAATGTCTAAGCAAGGCCCCCGGAAGCAGTGTAGCGAAGGCCCAAAATCCAGCCCTGTCCTGTCCGGAGCCAGGCTCAGGTTCACGGAGCTCAGAGCGCAGAGCTGGGACTCCGAATCCCACCCCGACTCAGGCAGCAGAAATGGAGGGAACTCGACCCCCTGTCTCTCGGGGGCACACGTCCCAGGCGCTCAGCTTGGCCCCCTGACACCCCCTCCACAGTCCAGCGCAGCCGCGGGCACCGCGCGCACGAACCCGCCCGGGAGCCGGGAGGCCCGGCCCAGGCCTGCGTGGAGCTGGGGCCCGGCGGGCTCCAGGAGAGCGCGGGCCCGGAGTCCAAAGGGCGGCGGAGCCCGGGGCAGGGCGCCCCGGATACGAGTCCTCGGTGGCAGGCCCTTCAAATCGCGCCGTCCCCACGTCCCGCGCGGACACCCCAAGCGCGTACGGACGAACAGGCGAAGGCACGGGGGACACTCTCGGCTTCCCAGCCTCGGGACCAACTCGTCCGGGTCGCGGGGGGGTGGGGGTGGGCGGGGCTTCCCGGAGAGATTTTCTCCCCCTTCCCTCTAAACTTCCCGGCACCCAGATCTGGGGCTCGGCTCAGGCTGGACAATAGCTCGGGGGACCCTGCGCCCCTCGAGTGTTCCGCCCGTCCAGAACCAACCTACCCACCACCTCTCCCAAGCAAGGCCTCCTCCCGGCGTCCGCCGGGCTTACCTGGTCCGAGCTCGGGGGGGCGCTCCGCAGGGCCGCTCCGCGGGGCCCGAGGGAGCTGCGAGGGGGGCTGGGGAAGGGGGGTCGTGGGGAGGGGGCTGGCCGGAATGTACGGAATGAGTCGGGCTGGAGCGGGAGGCGCCGGGCGCGGAGGAGGGAGCGAGCGGGACGGAAAGTTTGTGTTGAGGAGCCGGCGGGGGGTGGGGGCTGCGGGAAGGAGGGGGCGGGGCGCCCAGGGGGCGGGGCCCGTCCAGGGGGCGGGGCCACCGGGCCGGTGCTCGCGCTGCCCACCCACGGCCTGGCGACCCGCGGCCACTCCCGAGCTCCCGCGCCTCTGCGCCTCCTTTCTCGCGGCGCCGCACTCCCAACCTCCCCTGGCACACCGGGGCACCCCGCGGGAATTTGGGGCTCGGGTCTGGGGCGGGGCCGAGGGCGGAGCTCCCGCCTGGGGGCTGAGCTCCCGTCGGTGCCGGGGGCCTGGGGTGCCGCGTCACGAGGAGCCCAGCGGAGCCCGGGCGCACGGGCCTCGGGGCTCCCCACCCTCCACCCGAGCCCTGAGCCGCCGAGGCGGAGCGCCCCCTCCCGCCCGAGAGCCCGCCCCCCACTCCCGGGGCCCCAGACCCGGCTCCGCCCTGGCGGCTGCGCCCGCCCTGCCCGGACCCGGTTTGTCTGGTTCTCCCCGAGTGGCTTGTTTCTCGAATTTCTCCCTTTTCCCCTCTTCCCGAACCTCCGGGGCCCTCCCTCTCGGCCCGGCTCCCGTGGTGGGGGGACCGGGGGGGGGGCGTCTCGACACCGCGCCCGCCGAGTTTCGGTAGGACCCGCGACGGCCGGGAGGGGACGCAGGAGCGCCCGGGGCCTGGGCGGGGAGGAGGCTCCAGCCCGCCCCCCGCACCTCTCCCGCGCCGCGGCTCCCTCCCGCCGCCCGGCTCCGCGCGCCCAGGAACCTCGCTGCGCTTGACCTGGGACGCAGCTTTATTGGGGATGGGTACCCGGCCCTGGTTCCCCATCACCTACGCCCCTCTGAGCCCTGGGGCTCCTCGCAGCCCTAGCGCGGTCCCAGAGGGGTTAGATCAACACTGACTTCTGCTCCCGGACAGGAAGTGACTGGGGCGCGGGGAGGAGGGGGCGAAGCGGCGCGGGCCGGCTCCGCGACCAGATGTAAGGTTCCAACTCCAGATGTTCTTCATCTCCAACCCAGCCGCCGTCTGAACTCCGCCCGCCGCGGCCTGTGCCAGGCTGGGAGCGGACGGAGGTCACCGAGAGGCAGTGAAGGGTCAGCTCCGGATAGGGAAGGAGCCTTCTATGTGGGCAGTGGTCGAGGGACCCTGCCACTCTTCACTCAATCTTTTCCCCCACTCTTGGGGATCTGGGGCGGGGCGGGGGGCGCTGAGGGGCTGCCGGGGTCACTCGCAGGCCAGCTTCCCGTCGAAACTGGAGAGGGCGATGGCGAAGGCCTGCAGGGCGCACAACGGATACCGGTAGTCCAGGGTGAAGGCGTCCTCTGCCACACGGCCGAACTGCAGCACGATATAGTCGGCTGTGGACACAAGGCGGTGGGGACAGAAGACACCTTGAACCCTCATCCTGATAGACAATGCCCTCGATATGGGGGAGTCTCTTTCCTGTGCTTTGGAGCCCTATCCCCCCCTCAGTCAACCTCTGCCCAACTCCCCCTTTCTATCTCACCCAACCAGCCCCACCTGTACTGTGTCTGTCACTGTAAGCCCTGAGGGCAGGGGCCCAGCCTTATCTGCTACTGCTCTAAGCCATGCTAAAGCAGGCCCTTAATCAGGTAGTGCAGGACCCTGTGGACTTACCCAAGCCCAGAGCCCTTCCTTCCCAACTTCTTTGTTGTCTTCTGGCTGCATTCCTTTGCTCTACCCCTAGCCCCCAGGTCCCCTCCTTAGGCACTAGGCTCAATGCCTTCACCGACCCCTGGTTTCCTTCCTTAGCCAGTGGTCTCCACTCAGCCCTGTCCTGTTTCTGATCCATTCCGATCTAATTCAATCTAATTCCAGCCCTAATTTAACCTCTCCCAACATCCATAGGGTCAGGACATTTCTAAAAATACCCCTCCCCCCAAAACAATAACAACAACAACAACAAACTCTGCTCTGGTGGCAGACCAGACTCCACCAGAAATATGATATAGGGATCAGTCCAAGGCCAGGGGACAGGTGACACTGGGGCACATCCCTAGGATACAGTAGGGAGTGGGAGGACTTGCTTAGTGTTAACCCAACCCTGTGAACTTAGAGTCCTTTCGGAGATATCTTTCCACTCCCGAACTTCCTTCACCCTAGCTTATAACAGGGACATTTTCACCTAATTGCGTTCCTGGTACATCTTGCTTCACTAACGCCTCCCGGGTAGTCTTTTGACCTCATGTAAAGAAGACATAAAATACGCACTCAGAAATGCTTGATTAATTTTCCTTGCTCCTAAAAGGCAACCATCTTTCTTTTGGCGGGGAGGGCTGGGATTTGAACTCAGGGCTTTGCACTTGCAAAGCAAGCGCTCTACCACTTGAGCCACATTTCCAGTCCATTTTGCTCTGGTTATTTTGGAGATGGGGTCTTCCATACTCTTTGCCCCAGCTGTCCTCAAACCTCAATCCTCCCAATCTCAGCCTCCCAAGTAGCTAGGATTATAGACATGAGCCACTGGTGCCTGGCAAAGGCAGCCATCTTAAAGACTATCAGAGTCCTAATCCTATCCTCTACCTCTAACTAGCTGTGTGACTTGGGCAAGTTACTTAACCTCTCTGTGCTAGTTTTCTCATCTGGCAACCCTCTTAGGGTTGACAAAAGGATTTAACAATTCAATATCTGTAAAATCCCGAGAACAGTGCTTATCCCATAGCAAGCACTGTTAGTTTTATGAAATCAATTTTGAGAGTCAGTATGACTGCCTGGAGAAGCTAAGAGACTTCAGGCAAAGGACTGCCCTCTGAGCCTCAGCACTCTCTTTGACTCCAAGAGGCTGGGCACCATCCGTCCCTTCAGCACAGTGTACCTGGAATGTGCCAGGTCTACCTTAGGTCTCTGTTCAGAACCTGGAACAGTGAGGCCCAACACTCCTTTTGGGACTATCTGAGGCTCCCAGGAGCACAGACTTGAGGTCCAGAGAGGAGAGCAACCTTGCCAGACATTCTAGCTCCAGGAATGGAGGCTGGGGTAGAGGGAGGGGATTGCTGATTGAGAACCAGAGTCCTGGAGGTGCTGGGGAACAGCCTGACCTGGGCCCTCAGACTCACGGTCATCAGCGTGGACGATCTGGAAGTTTTTGACTGAGGCCTGGGTGACCCGGCCTTGGAAGTTAAGGGTGTAGGAGCCACTGTCTTCATTCCAGACAGGGGGTTTGTTGTGCAGTTCGATGAGGCTCTCCAGTGTCTTGTTCTGCCAGCGCACCAGCAGCCCGTCGCTGGCCTGGGGTGCCCAGGTGGGGGAAGGTGACAGGGAGAAGACAGTTAGAGGTGGCCAACCAGGGAAGGCGCATCCTCAAGGGCCCTTGGTGTGCAGCCTGGACATCAATGTCTATTTGTGGTGTCTGAGAGCGTGCTTGGCACCTTCGGGTGTGAGGGGCGGGATGCACATCTGTGAGAAAAGGGCTTGTCCTGGGGGTGCCCAGGTGGAGGGCTGGGCAAAAGAAAGGGGCACCTGTCACCCCATAGAGGCTCTGTGTCATTACTGAGAGAGTTCGTGGTTGAGCCGGGGGAGAGGGACAGGTAGACAGTGAGTGGCCAGAGGGTGCTGGGGAGGAGTGTTTGCGAAAGGAAGGAGGCAGTGTGATCTTTTTCTCCTGAGATCCCTTGTCACCTGTGTGTCCACCCAAGGTCACCTCTTCCAAGAAGCCTTCCTGATTTAAATGACTCAGCTCTGAGCTTCTACAACACCTCGCCTTACCATTCCTCCACTGCACTGGATGGACAGGATTAGACGCTCTCTTGGCAGGAGAGAGCAATATGTTACTAACCTTTCCATGCCTCAGTTTCCCACAGTGAGTACTGAATAAGTTCATAGCACATGGTGTGCAGTTTAGAACATTTCCTGGCATGGGCTGAGCACTCAGGAAACAGCTAGATTCTGATAATTGTTGTGTAGAGTTTGGATTATGGGTCCTGGCACATCGTGTGTGTTTAATAATGATTGCAGCGGGGCACCATGGCTCACGCCTGTAATCCTAGCTACTCAAGAGGGGAAGATCAGGAGGATATGGTTCAAAGTCAGTCCCAGGCAAATAGTTCGAGACTCTATCTTGAAAAAACCCTTCACAAAAAAGGGCTGGTGAAGTGGTTCAAGATGTAGCCCCAGAGTTCAAGCCCCAGTACAGAAAAAAAAAAACCAGAATGAAAGGTCTGTGGGTGGAGGAAAAGAGGCCTCAGTGGCACTTGGTTCTGAGGGAGCCTGCTAGGGACAGCTGTGAATCCCCAGAGCCCTCAAGGCCAAGCCGCCCATGGTGGGTGCCCCACAGTTCAGCCTGGCCTCTGAAGACAGCGTGACTTTCCAGCAGGGAAGGATGTGTGAGCAGCTGACAAGGGTATTACTTTTCATTGTAAATGAGTAAGGTGACATCAGTCTCTGGGTATGGTACGTGCCACTCACCCCTCTGAAACCCTGGGCTCACCCGACCTGCAGTGCTAAGGAGAGGAGCCCAGGACGGCCAGAGCCCAGGACAACTCTTAGACTACATGACACTCACCCCCCACCAAGCTTGGCTTTTAAAAAAATGCCATGTCACTCTTTCACTCAAAACCTTGCTATGACTTCCCATTCTCGCAGAGCAAAAACCAGTTACACAGGCCCTATCAGACCATCATCCTCACCTCTGACCTCGTGTCCTCCAGCCACACTGGCCACCAGGCCACCATGCTGATACTCTAAGCCACCAGGCACCCTCTGCCTCAGGGCCTTTGCACTGGCTCTCCCCTCCGGATGCTCTTCCCCACAGGTCTGCAGGCTTGCTCCATCACCTTCAAGACTGCTCACGTCTCACCTGTCAGTGAGGTCCTCCCTGACCGCCATATTTATATTTAAACTACACACTCGTCAGCTCCCTTCCCCGTCCAAACTTTCCTTTTCTCCCCCGTAGCACTTACACTTCCTATCATGCTCCGTCACTTACTTATTTATCACAGTCTGCTCTCTGTCCCCTTCCACTAGAATGCCACAGCTTCAAGAGGGCCCGTCTTTGCTCTGTCCACTAATGTCACCCAGGTTCCAAAAATATAATGGGCACTCATGTATGTGTTCAATGACTATATGAATGGATGATTTTTGGTGTGAAAAACTGGGAATTCAGTTACAAAAAAACCGAATTCATTTTGCAGGTTGTCAGAATAAATTTGTGCCAGAAGGTGATGAGTGTGCTTGGGGGTTTGGGCATTTTAGGTAGCATTTCCACCCCATGTTCCTTCTGTGGCGGGTCACAGGGGGACAGGGCTCACATTTCTGGGCCTGATGGGGACCCTCTCGTTGTCTGAGGTCATGCCAGGAAGGATGACCGTCATGCGCCGAGGGCCTCGGAAGCCCAGCACGTTGGTTTCCTGGGAGAGAGACGCTTGTTAGGCTGGCCCCCCGTGCGGGAGGACCAGGCGTGGGGGACAAGTGCAGCTCTCACGTAGATCACAGCTGCCAGCTCTTGACGAAGGTTCGCCATGTCAGTGCTGCCTCCGCCTCGCTGTGGGTTCTGCCCGTTGTCAAAGACCGTGAAGCGGTTCCCCAGGAGATTGGACCTACAGGTGGGCAGAGGAGGGCTGGGCTAAGGGGGTGCCAGGTCAACACCCTTCCTCATAGCCTTGCAGTGTTGAGAGCAACTGTGGGGCTTCTTAGGACCCTGTCCCCAAGCCCTGTCCCTGATGGGCAGGCCTTTTAAAATTATTTTTGAGCCACGATCTTGCTATATTGCCCAGATTGGCCTCAAACTCGAAATCCTCCTTGCTCAACCTCCTGAGTGTTGGGATTACAGGTATGTCCCATTGCACCTGGCCAGGTAAGTCTTTTTTTAAAAGCTCCATCCTTTAAAAATGTTCAAATCCTAGTGCTATCTCTTTGTAACTGGGAGGCCTTGGACGAGTTACTTAAACTCTCTGAGCCTCAACTTTTCCATCTGTAAAATGGGCATGGTAACAGTATTTGGTTGAGGAATGGATTTATATTTGGAAATTGTTGAGAACTACGCCTGATGCTAAGCAGGCCCTATGGAAATTTTGTTAAATGCATAAATAAAAGAAATAAGGCCTCACTGCCCCCCCACCTCCTGACCCAGCCCCCCCCCCTCACCTTAGCTTCCCCATGAAATTCTCCCCAGCTCGGGACAGGTTGGTAGGGTCGCTGGAGATGAGGTAATTGGCTGTCTTACTTCGCTTCCGTTTCCTGCCAGCCAAGAGGAACACCTGGGAAGAGGGAGACAGGCAGGTGGGGGTGAAGGTGGGTGGGGGGCTGAGGGAGACAGGCCCGATTGTAATGTGGCCCCATCCCGGCCTTAGACCTTCCTGGCACCTGCCCCCTCCTCACTTTCTTCTCCACGTCCAGGTGCAGGAAGTAGGAGGGGTACATGCCGCGATCCACGCCCTTCTTGTCCCGGGTCAGGCGGCAGCGCACAGTGCGGCCCTGGGGTGCAGGACGCAGCACGAACTCTCGGGGTTCATCTACCTCCACAGGCGGAGACACGGGCCTCTCCTCCTTCTGGGTGGGCAGAGGGTGCATCAGCCCTGGAGCGCCAGCTCCCCTACCTCCGCAGGTCCCGGGATGGTCCCCAGGCAGGGCAGGCCCTGCCACTCACCGCTTTCTGTGTGCAGGGAGAACACAGCTCAGTTGGAGGACCCTGATCCCTGGAGGCTGGGACGCCTCTGCACCCCCACCCCCCAGGTCCCCAGCAGCCATCACTGTAGGAGAGGCTCAGGAGCTCATCCTTTATTATTAATTTGTGTAGCATGTGGCTAAAAGCCGGGGCTCCAGAGCCAGACGTTCTGGGTTCAAATCCTGCTTCTACCAGTAAGGTCTGTCGTGTTGGTTAAGTTTTTCTTTTCTTTTTCTTTCCCATGAAGGAATAAGATAGCTACAAACTATGTGTGCAGGCAGTACATCTCACAGGTCAGGTGAAAACCCCATCACCCTGCTTAGGAACCACTAAAGGAACAACTTTGTGCTAATTTGTTGTGGGTGCTTGATCTTTGAGACAGGGTCTTGCTATGTGGCTCATTGCCTCCCAAGTGCTGGGATTACAAGCATGCCACACCCAGCTTTGCTTTTTTTTTTTTGATGGGATTGGAGTTTTCACTCAGAGCTTCATGTTCTACCGCTTGAGCCACACCTCCAGTCCATTTTGCTCTGGTTTTTTGGAGATGGGGTCTTGGGAACTTTTTGCCCAGACTGGCCTCAAACCTCAATCTTCCTGATCTCAGCCTCCCAAGTAGCTAGGATTACAGGCTTGAGCCTTTGATTTAAAAAACTTCCAATGTGCCGTGGTTCTAAGCTTTTCCCCAGTTTAACTCTTTTCATCCTCAAATGAGCCTTCCAAACAGCTGTCCCCATGGTACAGATAAAGAGGCCGAGGCAGGGGAAATGACTGGCCCATGTTACATGAGGTGTCTCTGGGCGTCGCCTCACAACCTGTCTGACCCAGGGACTCTACAGGGCCTTCCCTTGTGGGGACACTCTCTCGGGGTGATCTGAAGCTGACGGGAGGCACTGCTGTGTTCTAGTTAGACTGAGCGCTGTCGGAGGGTGTCATAGCCACCAGCCTCCCAGCTTCCCAGCCTGCCCCAGTGACCCACGAGTTTGTCACTCGTGGCACAGTCTTCATGACCAATAAAGCAATGGTGGGTCACTTCCAAGGCTGGGTCATAAAAGACACCTGGTTTCTGCCTGGCTCTCTGGGAGAAGCTGGGAGTCATGTCATACAAACACTAAAAAGAAGCCCGTGTGGAGAGGAACAGAGGCCCCCAGCCAACAGCTATGACAGTGAACCACTTTAGGTGTGGCCTGTCCATTTCCACTCAGGCGTTCAGGGGACCACGGCCTCATGTGAGGACCTGAGTCCCCACCACGCTGCTAAGCTGCTCTTAGGTTTCCAGCTCTCAGAAACTGAGTAGGAAAACACATGCATGTTATTTGAAGATGGTAATTGGGGGGTGACTTGTTACACAGCACTGTGTAGCTAACACACAGTGCTCTTTGAGAAACTCCTAACATTGGTTGGGCTACAGAAGGCCCCTGGGTGGTGGTGACCCCACAACAGCTCTTTCTATTCTCAGAGACCTGGTGCCCTTCGTCCTGGTTTTCTTCCTTTACAGGAGGGGAGCCATAACTTGAAGCCAATTTGCCAGCAAGGAGAGGACGGACCCCCAGCGGGGCGTGTGCACCTGAGGCACCAGAGCTACCTGTGAGCGCTGAGGAGCCCTGGCGTGCTGTGGCCAGCCATTTTGCTGAGGGCAGTTTCTACTGTGTGTGAGGTGAGGCCCGGCCGTGGGCCCTTAGCCAGGGGCAAATGATCATCTATTCTCCCCCCTACCCTGTTCCAGAAGAAAGTTGAGAAACATATGACTATGCCTGGAATGTGAAGTGGAAAAAGTCAGAGCCTAGTCCAATACTTCCACAGCTGTGAATTTCAAGGGCCTGCTGTACTGAAGACTGTTCTAGAATTATATTCTCCCTGCGAGAGAAAAAGCTGACCTTACCGCTTGCACATCAGCATCTGATGATCTTGGTTATGTGTATCAAGTCCCCCAAGACCTGACACTCCTGCACAGACTAATAAACCCTCGAGGCTCAGACCAGGGCCAGCCCTTGCATTGCTCTCTCCACTGTGGAAAGCTGTTTCTCGAAGCCTTTCACAATTTTCTGTCTGCCGGGTCTCTGCTGCTTATTCCAGTGTATGTGCACTGGTGCCTGATTCTTGTTTGAGGGCAGGAGCAATATCCAAAATAACGTAACATTGTTCTGTGCATGGACGATACCCAGTCCAAAGGGACCCTGGCAGGCCTGGAGCAGGCAGCTCTGACAGCTGGGGCGAACCCCTGAGGTGCTGGGCTGTTTCGTTGCTGGGAGGCGAGGAGCTCAGCGCATCAGAGTAGGAATGGCTTCACAACTGGCACAGCTAGCAGACTACTGTCACTCAGTGTGCCCGAAGGTGCCTGTGGGTCCACTTCCCTGCTACCAAAAATGTGTCTTTTCATGAGAGGGCTGTGTCTGGCAGCTACTCTGCTGAAGGGAAGCCTCCACCACCACAAGACAAAGCCCTTGGAGCCAGGTGCCAGTGGCTCACACCTGTAATCCTAGCTACTCAGGAGGCAGAGATCAGGAGGATCACAGTTCAAAGCCAGCCCAGAGCAAACAGTTCATGAGACCCTATCTTGAAAATACCCACAGACAAAAAAAGGCTGGGGGAGTAGTTTAGGTGGTAAGAGTGCCTGCCTAGCAAGCATGAGGCCCTGAGTTCAAACCCCACTCCCACCAAAAAAAAAAAAAAAAAGACAAACCCCTTGGGTAGCCAGTCCTGGCTGGGAAGCCCACAATGCCTATTCTGTTCTCCTGAACTGGTACCCTTTGCCCTCACATCCTGTCTTAGAGGGGTACAAGATCCTAACCCAAGGTCACTCCCCGCCAAGCCTTACACTCAAGTCACCCAAGTGTGGGACCTGCTACTGCTTCCTGAAGGGACCCTGGACCCCAACCTTTTTGCCTTTTCCTTTCGCTTTGCCCTTCTGGTTGCAGTTCTTGGTCACCACAGCTGGCCCCTCCTCCTCCTTATCCTCGTCTTCCTCCTCGTCCTCCTTCTCGTCCTCCTTCCTCTCTCCTTCCCAGCCTTTGGGTGGACCTGAGCACAGAGAGGAAAGGACTGTAAGTGTCTCACCTTGGTTGGTCCTATGTTCCCAACACCCACTTCTCACTTGGACCTTCCTCATTACCATGACAATTCAGCCCTGTTTTTATCAGTCTCAGAAAGGTTAAAACCCCCACCTGGACCACACAGCTGTCAAAGATGTCCCCCACATTTTCTGACTCTCCAACCACACTTCTCACCTTACTTTGTGCCATATGATACAGGGGTTCCCAGTTGCCCTCCAGGGCCACCTGGAGGTGTCATATCAACAGAGACACAGCCACCCACCCACCTTTCTTCTTCAGCGTCTTCACAACTGGGCTGTCTTCTCCAACCAGAAACATGGCTGCTGGACTCTTCTTCTTCACTCCCAAGGGGCTTCCCGAAGGGTCCTTGTCAGCCTCCCCGGACCCTGCTGTGTGGACGTGCAAGTGTCACAACCCCACCACATCCAGAGTCCCCCTGCCCTCTTGCGGTCTGGCTCACCTTTCTTCTTTGCCTTTCTCATCTTGGTCCCATCCCCCGCTTCTTTCTTCTTAGTACGGAGAGGTTTCCGTGGGGGATCAGGGCTCCCCACGTCCCCTGGAATGGGAGACAGGGGTTCGGCACAGAAGGAGACTATTGGGACTGAAGGCCACTTTCCAGCCCCTCACCCTGCCTCAGGAAGCAGAAGGTCTGACAGGGCCCACACGTGTCTTATGTTGTGACCTCCCCACCCCCCATCCCAGCCAGAAAAAGCGCTGGGCAAAAACCAGTCTCCCTGGGCAGGGGCCCGAGGTCCCACCTGTCCTACACATGTAGGCCACACACCTGTGGGTGCCAGTGGGGGAGGGGCCAGCACTGTATTTATCATAGATTTCTTTGTGCTTGTATGTGTGCAGTACTGGGGTTTGAACTCAAGGTCTACACCTTGAGCCACTCCACCAGCCCTGTTTTGTGGTGGATTTTTTTGAGGTAGGTTCTCACCAACTATTTGCCCAGGCTGGCTTCAAACCTCAATCCTTCTGATCTCTGCTTCCTGAGTAGCTAGGATTACAGGCGTGAGCCACTGGCTCCTGGCCCATTGATTTCTTTTTAATATAATTACTTTGACACTTTTATAAAAATTATAACACTAATTTGCATTAACTAAAAAAAAATCACAAAACTAAAACTCTCTGCCTTCCCTGGGCTCAGGGAAGAGCCTGGGCAGGGGGTAGCTGAGAGGATGGGAGTGGGTGGGGAGCACATGTGGACCCCTGTAAGGACCCCCTATGAGGAAGAAGCTGCCAGAGGAAGAGCCCTCAGGTCAAGGACCCTTTGGGGTCCCACACTCAGTACTGTCCCCTGTGTTCTCAACACCCACCCCTTGGGCCCTGGGCCTTGGCCTTCCTCTCCTTCTCCTGGGCGGACTTCTTGGGAGGCAGAGGGGTTTTTTCTTTCTTTTCCTCCTCCTCTACTTCCTCCTCATCCTGGTCATCATCGTTGTCTTCCTCTTCCTCCTCTGTAGATAGAAACCCCTCATAATGGGCCCCTGGGGCTGGAGGAAGCCCCCTCTGTGGACTCCTCCTGTCTCTCTGTCCCCTCCTCTCCTCACGCTATCTTCGTGTGTCTTTCAGTTCCCCTTCTCTCTGCCCCCACCCGGCTTCTCCCTGTTGTCCTGCAGTTTGGAACCTGACTCAGACCCATCTGGGTTCCTTCTGGCTCCTGACTGTAGTTTAAGGCAAAACGGTAGCCTCTCCGTGCCTCCGTTTCCTCCATCCCCTCCCTGCTGACTGGAGCGCGCCGAGGCTGCTGCGCACCTGCCCTTGCCCCGCGCTTCCCTCCCGTCCTCTCACCGTCTGCGACGTCTGGGGCCCGGGCTACCAGGAAGGTTTCCCGGGGGTCGCGTTTCTTGGCCTCCGGGTCCCTGAGGAACCTGGCGTAGACGGTCTGCGGGGGGGCCTTGGCCGGGTCCGCGGCGGGCTCATCCCGCGGCCGCCGCCTCCGCCCGGCTGGGCCGAGGAGACGCCGGGCTCAGGCGCGGTCCACTGCAGGGGTCCCGGACGCCGCTCCGCTGTCCCCCACCACCTCCCCCCGACCCCCTGGCTGTCCCCACCTTGATCGCGCCTCCCCCCCGCTTTACCCTCCCCCTCCCCGTCCCGACCCCGCACCGTGGCGCCCTGCCCCGCCCACCTCCAGGCCTGCGGGGCTTGGATCCCGCGGGGGACTCGGGGGGCTCGGCCTTCTTCCTCCTCAACTTCTGCCCGGGGGCGGGCCGCTGGGGAGGGGGGTCAGAGGAGGGGAGGAAGGCAAGGGGGGCTCCCAGGGCTGCCCGCCGCCCTCTAATCCCCTGAGCTGCCAAAAATAACCCCGGATTACCCGCGGGAGCTGCAGCCGCCTTCTTGGGGTGAGGAAGGGCGACCCTTCCAGGGCCCAGGGTCCCCCAGGGTCCCTGGGCACCCCACATGCTCTATGCCCTTGTCGCACCCCGTCCAACACTCCAGACATGCCATCCCAGACCTGCCCGCTCCAGCCTCCCACCCTGGGCACACAGGTGGAACATCTTTCTGTCCCCTTTTCCAAGCAGGGGACATTACCTGCTTTGCGCGCCGGGGGACCTCGGGGCTCAGGCCTTCCTCCTCCTGGCCGCTGCGGGAGCGAAGGACCCAGGCTGTCCCCCTCTCCCCCGACCCCGACTGTCCCCCCTCCCTCCATCCGGGCCAGGGTTCAGGTAGTGCGAGGACGTAGGGGGCTCCCACCTGTCTGAGGCCCACACCTCTCGGAGGGTCTCTTCCTGCAGGGGCATGGTGCCTTCGCCTCGCTGCACCCCTTCTCCGCAGTCCAGCCACTCAACTCGGGCCTCCCCTCCTCGCCCCGCTAAGCTAATCTCGGCTCAGCTTCCCCCACCTGCCAGGCTGAGCAGCTCTTGGAAGGACATTTGCCACAGCCCTCCCTCCCTCTGGGCCCAGGTCACTGTCAGATAGTGTGGACTCCACTGCCAGACTGAGGGACACCCGTGCCAGCCCTGGCCCCAGGAGCTCTGGGTTAGAGGGACCCGGCCTCAGTGGTCAGAAGGGTGGGAGAAGAAAATATTACACTGGGTCCTGTGTCTATCTTTATTTCTCCTAAAGAACAACCAGAGGCCAGGTTCTGCAGCTCACGACTGTAATCCTAGCAACTCAGGGGGTAGAGATTTGGAAGACTGCAGTTAGAGGCCAGTCTGGGCAAAAAGTTAGCTAGACCTCATCTCAACAAAAAGCTGTGTGCGCCTGTCATCCCAGGTAATCAGGAGGAGTGAATAGGGGGATAGTGGTCTGAAGCCAACCCTGAGCAAAAATGCAAGGCCCTGCCTGAAAAAATAATTAAAAAGCAAAAAAGCATGGGCGTGTGGCTCAAGTGGGAGAGCTCTTGAGCTCAGGGTCCTGAGTTCAAACCCCAGTACCACCAATGAAAATTAGAATCTGGGCATGGTGGCACAAACCTGTGAATCCCTGCACTCAGGAGGCCAAGGAAGGAGGCCAGTGGGGCCTCTGTCTCAAAAACCCTAAAAACAAAAAGAAAAAGTCCACCTAGGACTTACTGATATTTAATGTGATTGACAGAGCATGTGTGTATAATGTATAAGGAAATGTGTGTTCAGAGGTGGATTGCCTTGGGGAGGCACCGGTCCCCTGAGCTCTGCCACTGCAAGGCTGATCACTTGAGGGGTAGTTACTCAATGTCTCTGAGCCCCCATTTCCTCACTTATAAAATGGGACCCACCTGGTAGTGATAGCACACACACTGAGTGGGATGAGAGGTGCTTTGTCTCCTCAGTGTATATTAATATATCAGTATTATATATTAACATAATATATATTAATATATTACACGACTTGGTTGCTGCTTATTCTCTCTTCTCTCTCCTCTCTCTCTCTCTCTCTCTCTCTCTCTCTCTCTCTCTCTCTCTCTCAGTGCTGGGGATGGAACCCAGGGCCTTGTACATGCTGGGCAAGCGCTATTCCACTGAGCTCCCTCCACAGCTCTTGTTTTTTGTGACAGTCTCTATGTAGCCTAGGCTGGTTTTGAACCCCCGGTCCTCCTGCCTCAGTAGGTGTGTACCACCATGCACAGTGTGGTGCTCTATTTTCAAATGACTGCATTCTTTATTTCATTTGATTCTCACAGGAGTCCCATGAAGTAGGAAGAGGCTAGAGACGACCGCCATATCACAGGTGGAGAAACTGAGGCTCAGGGAGGCGAAGTGACTTGCTTGGTGTCCACTAGAGAGTTACTGAGCCAGGGCCCAAATCCAGATTTAACTTCCTATCAACTTTGGCTCCTGACCCTGTGTATTTTATATAATCCCAAGGGTTGGGGCAGAGCGTGAGTCCAGGAGCCCTCTGTCTTTCTTTGCTTCCTTGGTCCACCTGATACAGGTCTGCCATAATTAATCTTCCTAAAACACCATTTCTTCAGCTGACTCTTTTGCTTAAAAACATCCCTTGGCTCCCTACTGCCTAAGGATCAAGTTTAAACGTGCAGGGCTGGTATTCAGGGCCCTCCTTGAGCAGACCCCAGCCCTCCACGCAGTCACTAGGCTGTGTCTCTCCTCCTGGCCTTGGCTCCAGCTCCTCCCCCGAAATGCCTTCTCCAGGAGTCTCAGCCCCTGCCTGCCTTGGATGTATAGTAATAGCAGCATTTATTGACCACCTACTGTGTTGCCCCTTGCTGCTATTCTGACTCCACCCTCACAGTAATATTTGAGAGGCAGACATTAATACTCGGGTATTAAAGGGGAGGAGAGATGAAGCTGGCAGTCAGTCAACAGATATTTCCTGAGCAGCTTCTGCAAGCAGCTCACGTTCTTGTGAGAAAGACAGCGAAGACACAAATACAAATAGGTTATAATGATCTCATTATTATTGGCTGTGGTAAGTGCCACACAGGGACAGAACTGAGTTCCAGGAGAGTCACAGGTGGGATGCAGTTGGGATTTAAACTCTGTCTGAGGATGGGAGTTTCCAACTAAGACCTGCAGAATTTCAAAGACTAGGAAAGAGAGCACTCCAGGCACAAGGCACAAGGCACAGCATGTGTGGATTGTTTCCAGGCAGTCAAGAACTTGGCACCTTGAAGCTGTGCCATTTCTGCACCAGGGCAAGGGTGGCCCTGCCTGGGACCACTTGAGCTACTCCACCAACCTTTGTATGTGTGTGTGTGTATGTGTGTTGGGCTTTTCCAAGATAGGGTCTTGAGAACTATTTGCCTATGCTGGCTTTGAACCGTGATCCTTGTGATTTCTGCCTCCTGAGTAGCTAGGATTACAGGCGTGAGACATTGGTGCCTAGCTTCTAAGCTACATTTTGCCTTTTAATTTTTTTTTTTTGGTGAGACTGGGGTTTGAATTCAGAGCTTTGTGCTTTCAAATCAGGCACTCTACTGCTTGCACCACACCTCCAGTCCGTTTTGCTCTGGTTATTTTGGAGCTGGGTTGTCTCAAATTATTTGCTCAGGTTGGCCTTGAACCACGATCCTCTGGATCTCAGCCTCCCAAGTAGCTAGAATTACAGGTATGAGTCACCTGTACCCAGCTGGTATACAAATTTTGCACCCTTTGAATAAAATGACCTCTGCTTCAATTCCTTGAGAATCAGTGCAGGTTAAGCTCAGGATAGAAACAGAAAGTACAAGATGGGTGCTGTGGCTCACGCCTGTAATCCTAGCTACTCAGGAGGCAGTGATCAGGAAGATGGTGGTTGGAAGCCCGCCCAGGCATATAGTTCTCAAGACCTTATCTTGAAAAAACCCATCACGAGAAAAAGGGGCTGATGGAGTGGTTCAAGGTGTAAGCCCTGAGATCAAACCCTAGTACTGCAAAAAAGAAAAGAAAAGAAAAGAAACACAAAGTACAAAGATGAGGGGAACCCAGGAGACAGTGAAGATGTTCGGGTGTGGGTCAGGGGTAGCTCTAGAATTGTGAGTCAAGATTTGTTCAAAATGAGAATCAACTTAGGGATAAGATTCAGATCAGGGACACAGATAATCTTTAGGCCTTTTGATCTGACTGCTGTACTCCAGACTTCAAAAAAAAAAAAATCCAGGCTGGAGTCTCTATAATTATGCCTTGTTTTGAACTAAAAATGACATTTCTCAACTTGCCCACTGGCATTAGTCACCAGCCTCGATTCCACATGAATCTTAGCCGTTCTCTAAAATCCAAGTCACCTTCAGAAGGGGAAGAGTGGCTACCAGCCCAGACGATCATGATTCTGACCCTGGACCAGAACCAGACCCTGTGCCAGTGCCAATTCACCCTCACAGCACACTCACAGGTGTGCAGCTCAGAGAAGCTAAGGAACTTACCAAAAGCCACCCAGCTGAAGCTTAGTGCGACCATCCCCTCCACAAGGCACCTGCTATGTGTCTGGTACTTACTCGTGTCATTTCTAATCCCTCTGGAGGGTTTAGAAGGTAGGCAGACAAATTCCTTCACCTCTCTGTGGCTGTTTTCGTCTGGTTTGTAAAGTGGTGACAATATTGTATCTAACTTTCCAGAAGTTGTTGCGAGTATTAAATGACTGGTAAAGGAACAGTGCCAGCCATACAGCAAGCATCCTCGACATGGTGGCTATGTGTCCCACTGCACCACGTTCCAGCTGGGTGACGGTGGGCAAGCCTCCCCTTTGAACCTCAATTTCCCCACCTGGCAGAATGACTTGCATCTCATAAGGACGAGTTCAGGTGACCTAGCGGACATGTGGAGCCACCACCTGCTACAAGGTGGAAGTGGGCCGCACTCTGAAGGCACCAGTACTGCAGCAGTGCATTGTGGGGTTGTGCTGTTCATCACAGAACCCACAGCAGATGGTCTTTAAGCCCCCGACTCCAGGCCAGGTTCTCAGAGTGCCCGCAGGGGCCCGTGCATTGGTGGGTGGCCGGAGACCTGGGTGGCTGCTGGGCACTGAATGCAGGAGCAGAGAATGGGCCTCCACTCAAGCTTTTGCCCATCCAGAGTGCAGAGCCCGGCAGTGCAAGTTGTGAGGTACAGAGAAAGAAACAAGGACCCTGGTGCTGCTCTAGATGGTAGAGTGTGACAAATGGTCCTGTTGGAGACTCCACAGCTTCTCACAGAAGCCTGCAGAGTCAGGAACGCCCTAGACGCAGGGTCCCTTCTCTGCTAGCGCCCTCCAGGCCTGGCCTAATGAAGTCCTCAGCTGCACAGAGTCAGCTGTTTGCATATGCTCCTGTCCAGGAGGCCACCAGGCCTCCACAGAGGGACAGTCACAGCCTCAGTTCACCCAAAGAGAGGCCTTGGTCCTCCATGTCTCTAGGACCCAGGGTAGAAACAGGAGCAGGCTTCTGGTCCCTAGCCCCCAATCCCAGTCAGTCAGAGATCTGCCGGGAAGGTGCTGATGGGCCGGAGCCAGAGGGACCGGTGGCAGGGATGGGGTGGGGTCAGGCTGCTGGGGCCTGGATGAAGCTCGCTGGGAATGACTCACCCCGTGCCACTGGGCGCCAGGCACTTCTAGACACTTAATGTCCAACAGCGACCAGAGAAGACTGAAGTCCTTGCCCTCCTACCCCGGCATTCTGAACCGCCATGTGGCTTGCTAAAGGAGAGTCAAGTGCAGAAAATGAAAGTAGGAAAGGAGGACCCGAAGTCAAGTGAGGAGGGGGGAAAAGAAGTGACTGTAAATTACAGTCACTGAGAAGTGGCAATGGAGTGAAGATCAAGAGGTAAGGGGTGAGCTGCATTGATATCTGGAGAAGAGCGTTCCAGGCAGAGGGAACAGCAGGTGCAAAGGGCCTGAGGCTGGAGTGCAC